CCTGGAAGGATCTAGGAAGGAATCGGCACCTTTGTGCAGCTGTCAGTGTGTCACTGGCTGGCCAGACGCCCATGTGTGCAAAACGCACAAGCAAAGGGGAACAGGACCTGTTCCGGGTACCGCAATGCTCGTAGACTGGACGAATCAAGAAGAATATCGATTGCTTGGACGGATCGATTTGCAGATGGTTCACCGTGTTATTAGGACTCATGAGAAGTCTCATAAAAAAACCTAGACCGGCTCGGAATCTTGTCTTGCCTCTTTTCGAAGCTGTTGCTATTTGCCCGCCCTCATGCCCTCATGCCTCCTCGCCCGCCCTCCCTTCTCCCCTCCCGTTCCCCCAGAGACCAAGAAAGCACTATTGCATGGATCCCGGGACTATTTCCCGGACTGCCTCGCGAGTAGGCCCCGTTATTCCTGCTACGGTGTCCGTTGGAAGGAGATCAATGTACTGCACGACGCACAACGCGCAAGGTGTTGGTTGGTGGTGTGGCGAGCTGGAAAGCAACGCTGCGCCCTCCCCTTTCCGACGGCACGCCGAGGAAACTTACCACTATTAATCTAGTGTAATTGCGCTCACTTATCGATGGCTCGCCATAACAAGTTCATCTTGTGCGTCCTGAGGAGGTGGATGGATTGGATCCATGGGCGGGCGTCTTTATTACACCTGCTCATCCATCTGACTGAGATCATCATCCGAGGGAGAAGGCTCTCGCCCTGGTCGTTCGTATTGAGCTGTCACATGTAATCTTACGCCATCTCCGCCGGCCTCCTTCAAGCAACCCATCGATGCGACCAGGGAAATAGATTCGTGAAAAAGGATCAATATACCACCAACGCAAGCGTCTCGGGTGATTCAACAAATCAAAATTCCCTGCTCCTGTCTGGCCACGCTAAAGAGGCCAGAAGGGAGACGGAGAAGGGGAGCAGGGTACCGACAGCATGGATCTGTCAGGATTGTGTATTTTTAGAGCACAGCGCTCATTGTCGAGTCTTCCCCCATCCATTCAAGTTGCAACACAGCCAAGCCCGGTCCCAGGCCCGGCATGCAACTTGACTTACCTCTCCGTGCACGGATGAACCAACAGCTCGCCGCCGCTCAGGGTCATGCAGGTGCCTCCATCACAGAATCATGACTGGGAGTCACATCTCAACAATGGAGAAATAAAGGAAAAAGATTGATCGTTGTGACACCTTGCTAGGCGCCAACAGGCCCGGACAACGCATCCGCGCAGCCGGCCCGGGCCCGCATACGTGCGTGCGGATCCTTACCGCCCGGGAGGTGAGAAGCTCACGGTATCGCTGTGGCGGTTCGTTCCAATGGAGATGGAAGCACAAGGTATAGCTGTGGAACGCCGGCGGCTTACATGCTTACAATCCTAGAGCCTATGTATTCACCGAACTTCGGCGTTTGAGACGGAGGGGCATCATGCCACCCCCTATGCCGATATCTGGGGTGGGCTGGACTGAGGAGCGGAAGGGCAATTTGTCACGCACCTGCGCCCGCCCGCTCCCGCCCGTCCCCCGCAGATTTTGCTGGAGGTCGCTTCTCGATAGCCTCTACAATGAGGGCACCAGCGGGAATCAACGAGAATGATTGTTCCTTGCAGGGTTGGCGCCTTCTTTCTTTGCCCGCTTGTACTATTTTGGCGCGGAGGGGTGTCGAAGATGACATGTTCGACATGTAGAGATCCATGGATCTATCCCATCAAACTAGATCTGTCGATTGGCCTGAGAAGCCCTCAAGGCTGCTAACTGCAGTTCTTGGTAATACTGCTGTGCCCAGCTCGGATTTGTCTGACCCTGCGCCAGGTTTGATTTGTTACCCAACCCAAGCACACCTTTTGAGGCAAAGGGATCCATCCATTGAATAGAGGGTTGAGTGAGCCCCGTTGCCCACCAGCTTGGAGCTTGGAGACCAAGCGACTAGCAGATCCCGCTCCTTCGCGCCGCCATGTGGTTTCCGTGCGGTTATCAGGCCAAGTACCTCGGTATCGGCTTCCACGCCAGGACTACCTTAGCGACGGCTCCCCATTAATACAACTTTGAAGTACTTGGCCGCTGACGGCCCCACCAGCAATCGGGGCTGCAGGTGTCGAGAGTCACGCTTTGGAAAAATAACAAGTGTCCCCTCCAAGTAAGTGCGCCAGCGGGGCCCGAGACTCATTAGAATCAGGCCCTTTGCTAATTATTATTGTGAGGACACCCGAGAATGGGGCAGGTAGAGGAACGCTACTCCACCCCCACCAGGCTGAAGTCAGATGGCGTGGTCCTCTCATCGTCATCTCCTCATCAGGACCCCCATCTCGGGGCTGAGCAACCTTCCCCTTGGCGATAGACCATTACGATATAGCCAATGTCCACGAGGTGTCTTCTCGTATTATCAGATACATTTGGCCGTTTGTCTTTTTAACAAAGGAACAAGGGGAGGGATCCTCGTCGTTGTCCTACCCTACAGGCAACGGCCGGAGAAGACGGCTGCGGTGCCTAGTCGTGTCATCTGCCTCAATATGATGGTGGTGGTGGCGCCTGTTTTCGATAATGGCTGGCTCGCCTCGCCATGTTAGCGGCCTATCCTCTTCCGAAAAATGGACCTTGTTCTGCGAGGAGCGCTCAGACTTCCTTCCGCGGCCACCCCCTCTTTCTTTCTTCCTTTCTCTCTGGTTTTCTCGCTCTTGTTTGTAGAGAAGGGTGGGTCTCGGATTTACTTCGTATCCCATATCCATCGCTTGGAGAGGGAAGGGAGGGGGACAAGGGAGAAATTCGAAGAAGAAAGGGGAACGTTGAAAAGGTGAGGTGGAACAGCCGGCTTGTCATTCCCGGCTCATCTCCTGGGGGTCTCCATAAATGGAGGTGAGATCGACCGGGCCCTTCATCCAGTTTGATGTGACGGTGCCGGTCAAGTCAGTCGTGGTGGTCGCTAGGCATGAGGCACGCGGCACAGGGGAGGGGCTACCCTGCACTGCATCCAATGCCTGCCGACAAAGAAGTGCGAGAGACTGGAGGGTTATCGTTAATATTTTCCTTAGTGTTTTGTGGGGAAGCTCCCTGTCGCCCATGATGGTTGAATTTGGCCCATGACCCTGATCCTAACCCCGGCCCTAGCTCATCTCGCCCGCATCATTGGGGCCAAGGCCGTTCGTTCTTTGACTCCCTCTCATCGTCCTGCATTCTATGGGTCAACAATGAGCGCGACGATACCACGGTATTCGAAGCTGGTAACATTCAAGTTGAACAAGACGGGGGCTGCTTTTCAGGTGTAGAATTGGCCGTTCCCCCTGATTGATCCATGCCCCGGTTTGATGGTCTGCTGGGCCATCATTGATCTTCCGTGGAATTTTAGAGCGGGGCGCACCAAAGGAAGGCGGAAGGCTGCTAGAGCTCAGGGAAGCGACGGTGGCGGCTTTGGTGGAGGCCACCTCGGAATTGCGATAGATGTCTCATTATTCTACACTCTGGCGCCGTTCAATGTTCAGTTCTAGCCATGATGTACGAAGTAGCTTGAGATGGAATGTATTGCCCTTAGAGCCCTAGTGGGCACACTCCTCCCAGTGACGAAGCCAGGCCCTTTGGGCAACCAATCAGGAATAGATCACCCCCAACACACCCCCTCCTTTGCACCTTCCATTGCAACCATCTATGGATCAGTCCCAAGAATTCTGCCATCCCATATCCCAAGAGGTCCCATCAAATTGATCTAGCCAAGGGTGTTGCTGAACAGACCCGAGGCCTCTTTGGGTGGGTGTGGAGTGAGGGAGCTTTCTAGCATCACACCCTGGCGTTCTCGATCATTTCTACTTGCAGAGGCGAGTGGTACACGATTCACCTGTCCCACTGCCTTGCCTAGCTACTATAGCTCCTTCCTTGGAGAGCAAGCCCAATTGCTTTCTTTCCCCTACATACTCTTGCTTGGAGATTCAAGAACCTTCTTCAATTTGGCCTTTCAATGTTCCTTGCTCCAAGTGGCTGCAGCTAAGTACCAGTCAATAGCTGCACATGCCCAAACTGTCTTCTCCACAACACTGCCCACATTTGAAGTCACCCAACTTGAACCTACTAGAGCTTTGAGCTCCCTTCACCCCGCCACGATTTTTTTCTCTCTGGCTTGTCCGCCAACCCATTGTTCTTTTTCGGTGCCCTCGACCTTATTTTTTTCCCTCCCCTCCATCCCTTTTCCTCAACGAACCGTTTACGAACATTTCTTGGTTTTGGTTTTGGTTTTGGACGACAATCCAGCCTGGTCGGACTACTCTCTGGCTCGTTTCATGCGGCCGACTCACCAGGAGCCATAGTGTACACCGCACTCCTATCTCGGACCACTTTCCTTTGACGACATCTTCCTAGGATTGTCATCCCATGCCGACGAAACCTTACTATCTCTTCCTTAGATCGATTACGTTTCTCTAACCCCGGGCCTTCCCGTGTTGGCTAGTGCGAGTAACCTTCTTAATCAGTCACCACCCCCGAAATCTGTACCTCTTCTGGCCCTGCACTGCATCGACATATCCTTTTCATTGAGCTGCGTAGCAAGTCGTTCTCTTGCTGTGTCCTGACGAAACCCGCCCTTCTAACAATATCCTGTTGCTGAGGCGACTATCAACCTCTCTAGTTGATTACTTTGGAATACGCTGTCCTTTGAAGCTCCCCTTGCGGCCTTTTGGCTGGAATCGCGAGCTAAGACTGTCTCACCTTGCTTCGACTCGTCGCATAGCTAAGCCGACCCGAACAGAACAAGCGCAACTCCCCTCCTGCGCTTCTCGTGCGAGTCTGGCTTCTGTTCGTCTTCCTCTCTCTTCGTTTCGGCAACGGTGCCCACCGCATAGAGTCTCAGTTACTCGTGGCCGCCGCCTCAGCCTTGCCCACTCTCCCCTCACTTTCCCCGCCCTGGTTTCGCAGCTCAACCTTCGATTGCAATCGACCCCTACTGCAAGCCCCGCCGGCACACCTCATTCGCCTTCCCACCTGGCCGCCTTGCTGCCCCGCCCTCGACTTTCCACACAATGGCGCCCTCTGATACTCGGCAAGCGCCTGCGGCGCAGGGCAAAGCCCGCCTAGTTACAGAAGATCTTGAGAAGCCTCTGCTAGATGACCGCTCCTATCGGGTCATCAAGTTGGCGAACGAGATGGAGGTGGCTCTGGTTCATGACCCCAAGGCCGATAAGGCGAGCGCCTCCATGGATGTTAATGTCGGCAACTTCAGCGATGAGGCGGACATGCCCGGAATGGCCCATGCGGTCGAACATGTAAGCAATGATCACTTTGAGCGTCACGCACGTGGGCTGTGCCCGCAGTCCCATACATTTGCTCCCTTTCCCTACTTCTTCCCCTCCCCTCCCCCACGCCATCTCCAATAGAGTCAATATTGACTGTGACTTAGCTTCTTTTCATGGGAACCAAGAAATATCCTGGTGAAAACGACTACTCTCAGTACCTGTCGTCGAACTCGGGCCACTCCAACGCTTATACGGCGTCAACATCGACCAACTACTACTTTGATATTTCTGCCAAACCCGCTAATGACGAGGACCCGACCGAGGCGAATCCATCGCCACTTCTCGGCGCTCTGGATCGCTTCTCTCAGTTTTTGTGGAACCGCTCTTCCTTGAATCTACCCTTGACCGCGAGCTCAAGGCCGTAGATTCGGAGAATAAGAAGAATCTCCAGAACGACTCGTGGCGCCTTTATCAACTAGAAAAGTCATTGTCCAACCCGAATCACCCCTACTGCCATTTCTCTACGGGTAACCTGGAAGTTCTCAAGCATGAGCCCGAAGCGCGAGGTGTCAATGTCCGCGCCAAGTTTATCGAGTTTTACGAGAAGCATTACTCTGCAAACCGAATGAAGCTCTGCGTACTAGGAAAGGAGCCCTTGGACCTCTTGGAGAAGTGGGTCGTTGAACTGTTTACGCCCGTACCGAACAAGAATCTCCCCATCAACCGATGGGATGACGAGGCTCCTTTGCGCCCTAGCGAGCTCGGCATGCTGTGTTTCGCGAAGCCTGTCATGGATTCAAGGGAACTCAACCTCTACTTCCCATTCCTCGACGAAGAAGAGCTGTACATGAGCCAACCGAGTCGGTACGTTGGGCACCTCATCGGTCACGAGGGGCCCGGCAGCATCATGTCGTATATCAAGGCCAAGGGCTGGGCCAACGGCCTTAGCGCAGGAACCTATCCCGTGTGCCCCGGGACACCTGGTATCTTTGACTGCCAGATCAGATTAACAGAAGAGGTATGAGCGTCAGGTTTCTTTTCTTTTCGAAGTTTTTTCTTTTCCTTTTTTATCTATTTATCTTATTACCTAACCGGGTATGGCAATTAACCTATGTTGTGTAGGGTCTCAAAAACTACAAGGAGGTCGTCAAGGTATTTTTCCAGTACGTCTCTCTTCTAAGGGAAGCGTCCCCGCAACAGTGGATCTTTGACGAGCAGAAGGGAATCGCCGAGGTGGGCTTCAAGTTTAAGCAAAAGAGTCCCGCGAGTAGGTTCACGATGAAGACTAGCTCCTTGATGCAGAAACCCATTCCTCGTGAATGGCTCCTGAGCGGCTTCAGTCGACTCCGCCAATTCGATCCCGCGCTCATCCAAAAGACTATCGACAGCCTCCGAACTGACAACTTCCGCATGACAATCATCTCGCAGCGCTTCCCAGGGGATTGGGACCAGAAGGAGAAGTGGTACGGAACCGAATACAAGGTCGGAAAGATTCCCGAGGATTTTATGCGCGAGCTCCGTGAGGCCGAGGCGAGCAGCGCGAGCAACCGTCTCACTGCTCTTCACCTGCCGCACAAGAATAATTTTATCCCGACCAAGCTAGATGTAGAGAAGAAGGATGTCAAGGAGCCCGCCACCGCACCCGCCGTTGTGCGAAACGATGATCTGGTTCGCACATGGTGGAAGAAGGACGATACCTTTTGGGTACCGAGGGCCAATCTCATCATCAGTTGCAAGAATCCCGTGCTATTCGCCTCTGTCGAAAATACTGTCAAAACGAGACTATACGCCGACCTTGTTCGAGACGCGCTCGAAGAGTTTTCGTACGACGCCGAGCTCGCTGGACTGGACTATAATGTGGGCTTGGATTCTAGGGGTCTGTGTTTTGATCTGAGTGGCTACAATGATAAGCTTCCCGTGTTGCTAGAGCAAGTGCTGAAGACGGTACGAGATCTCGAAATCAAGGACGACAGGTTCGACATTATCAAGGAGCGTCTAAAGCGTGGTTACAACAACTGGGAGCTGCAATCCTCGTACCACCAGATCGGTGACTATCTTTACTGGCTCAACTCGGAAAATGGCTTCATCATTGAAGAATATGCGACCGAACTTCCCAACATCACGTCCGAGGCCCTGAGATTCTTCAAGCCTCAGCTACTAGGTCAGATGCATATCGAAGTCTACGTCCACGGGAATATGTACAAGGAGGATGCCCTACAGTTGACGGATATGGTGCAATCCATTCTCCAGCCGCGCCTGCTTCCCCGCACGCAGTGGCCCGTGAGGCGGTCTCTCGTCCTCCCCCAGGATCCAATTACGTGTACAGGAAGACGCTCAAAGATCCCGCCAATGTCAACCACTGCATTGAGTACTGGCTCTACACGGGTGACCGTGGTGACCCTCTCACTCGGGCTCGAACGCTGTTCCTAGAGCAGGTGATGCACGAGCCCGCTTTCGACCAGCTGAGGACGAAGGAGCAGCTGGGATATATCGTGTTCTGCGGTGCTCGCGTTTTTGCGACTACGTACGGCTTCAGGTGGCTCGTCCAGAGCGAGCGCACGCCGCAGTACCTCGAGGCCCGCGTAGAGGCTTTTATCAACTCGTTTGGTGAAATCTTGGATAAGATGAGTGATGCCGACTTTGAAAATCACAAGCGTAGTCTCGTGGTTAGGCTCCTCAAGAAATTGGAGAACTTGGATTCCGAGAGCAGCAGGCACTGGAATCAAATTTCGGCAGAATACTACAACTTTGGAGCTGGTAAGTTATATTGCACCGAAGCACACGCGATTCAGAGTTGCGTTTGACGTCATGGGGATGAACCTTGCCTTGTACTGACACGAAACTTTTTTTTTCCTTTTAGCGCAAGAAAACGCCGAGCATGTCAAGGCATTGACCAAGGAGGAAGTCGTAGAGTACTACAAGAAGTATATCGACGTCGCCTCGCCCACGCGCGCCAAGCTCATTGTCCAGCTCTTTGCTCAGGGCAATGCCAAGTCCAAGGCGAAGATTGATGCTCTCATCAATACCAACCTCTCGGGCGAAACTGCCGAGACCAAGGAAGCTGTGCGGTCCGCCATTATGCAACCCGAGTTGAGGGGTGATGCTGCGGCGCTACGCAAGTACCTTGGGTCGGATCTCAAGCTCGCGGAGGACAAGATTGAGGCGATCCTTGCCGTCGCGGGTGACCCTGCAACGGAGCCCAAGGAGACGGAGGAAGGTGAGGCTGTCCATGGCGAGGAGAAGGAGGGCGACCTCACGAGTAACGGTACGGAAAATGCCGCGAAGCAACAACCAACTCTTATCACGGACGTGCGGGCATTCAAGGCGTCGTTAGTGGCGAGTGCGGGCGCGCGGCCGGCGAGAGATATTACCGAGTATGAGGAGATGAACGGAAAGCTATGAGTATCATCACCCGAGTAAAAAGTAAGAAGGAAAAGAATTCAAGGCACAAAGAGTAACATTGAAGACTACGGAAGCGAGGCAACAGCGTGTCCACGTGTAAGCGCGGTGACTGGGATTAGGTTGCTAGCGGGCAAGACATGTGAGGTTTGTAGATGAGAAGCGGACCTGGCTACAGCAGACCCGGTGGGATTATCATATTTCTGCTTTTGACTCGGCCGGCTTTTATCGCATCACCTTGGCGAACCAGATTTTATCGAGAGTCCCTCGCTTCTGTATCACCATTGCACTCTCGTTGAAGCTACTCATACAGCGGCAGAATACGTTGCGTTTCATAGGCATGAATAAGTATATATCAGAATGCGTCTCTCTCTGTATGTTTGTGCGCGTGTGCGTAGTCTCCTGACCAGACCAGGTTCAGGGCTGGGTGAATCCTGTGTTATATCGACGTTGGACGTGTCGCTGTTCCTCAAGGTATTTCTTCTGTGGAAGATTCACGATTTGATGGTGGCCGAGTCATTCCTTTATGAATTCTTTTGCTATTTTCTCCTATTCATTTCTAATGTGAAACAGTCCTCTTTCTTCTATGATGAAAAGATAATATATAACGATAAAAAAGTAGATGGGTTTCCGCCCCCTATCAAGATCCACGCACGATGGTCACCCCATTTTTGGTGTATTTGTAACGGTAAAGCAGTAAAGCGCGGCGAGGCTGGTCCATGACCTGTGGAGAGACCAGAGGCAAACAGCGAGCAGAGCAAGGATAGAACAAAAAAATGAACAAAAACAAAAAAGACTGAAAAGGAAAAGAAAACTTAAAAAGACACGACTCGTCTACGCCCTCTTGAAAGAGTTGAGAAGAACAACGCCCTCGGCGCCCTCGGCCCTCTTGACCAACCTGCCGACGGTGAAGACGGACTCGCCGGCGTCGGCGAGGACCTGGGACGCCTGGGGGCGAGGTCGGCGGCGACGACGATGAGCATGCCGATGCCGGAGTTGAAGGCGCGGCACATTTCGCGGTCGGAGACGGCGCCGGCGTCCTGGAGCCAGGCGAAGACGGGGGTAGGGGCCAGGAGGAGAGGTCGATCTCGGCGGCGAGGTGGGGGCAGCATGCGGGGGTTTTCGACGAGGCCGCCGCCGGTGATGTGGGCGAGGCCCTTGGCGAGGGGGTGCCGGGGGTGGTAGTAGTAGTAGTGGAAGAAGAGGAGGATAGAAGCTTGAGGAGGGAGCGGACGTAGATGCGGGTGGGGGTGAGGAGGGATTCGCCGGCGGATAGGGAGGGGTTCCAGGGGGCGGGGGCGGAGAAGGCGACGTCGGCGCGGGAGAGGATCTTGCGGACGAGGGAGAAGCCGTTGGAGTGGACGCCGGTGGAGGCGAGGCCGAGGAGGACGTCGCCCTCGAGCATGGCGTCCTTGCGGGGAGGCGGGACGCGGGGGTGACGATGCCGATGGCGGCGCCGGCGGCGTCGTAGTCCTTGCCGTGGTAGAGGCCGGGCATCTCGGCGGTCTCGCCGCCGACGAGGGCGCAGCCGGCCTGGATGCAGCCGTCGGCGACGCCCTCGACGAAGGAGGCGGCGGCGGCGACGTCGAGCTTGCTGCAGCCGTAGTAGTCGAGGAACATGAGGGGCTGGGCGCCCTGGACGACGAGGTCGTTGACGTTCATGGCGACGAGGTCGATGCCGACGGTGTCGTGCTTGTCGATGGCCTGGGCGACCATGAGCTTGGTGCCGACGCCGTCGATGGCGCCGACGAGGACGGGGGCGCCGGGGAACCCGCACTGGGCGAGGTCGAGCTCGCCGCCGAAGCCGCCGATTTCGGCGTCGGCGCCGGCGCGTTTGGTGGAGGAGACGGCGGCGCGGATGCGCTCGACGAGGGCGTTGCCGGCCTCGATGCTGACGCCGGCCTGGGCGTAGGTGAGGCCGGTGTCTTGGGGTTGGGCATCGGCGGCGGCGGGAGCTTCGGCGGGGCGCAGGGCGCGGTGGGCAATGTCCTTGCGGAAGAACATGCCGTCGAACTGGATGAGCTGGACGCCCTCGTAGGCGAGGTCGACGGCGGCTTGGAGGAGTCGGCGGTGGCGTTGGCGGCGATGACGCGGCCGCCGGCGGTCTTGAGTTGCTGCTGGCCGTCGAGGGCGGTGCCGGCGTGGAAGATGTTGACGGAGGCGGGGCCTGGTCGGCGGAGACGGTCATGGGGTGCCCTTGGCGTAGGAGCCCGGGTAGCCGCCGGAGGCGACGACGACGGTGGCGCTGAAGCGGTCGTCAATCTTGAGATCGATGCCGTCGAGGCAGCCGTCGACGCAGTGCAGCATGACGTCGGCCAGGTCGGTGTCGGCGGAGACGAGGGGAAGCACGGTCTGGGTTTCCGGGTCGCCGAAGCGCACGTTGTACTCGAGGACCTTGGGCCCGTCCTTGGTGATCATGAGGCCGGTGAAGAGGACGCCGACGAAGCGATTGCCCTCGCGGCGCATGCCTCGGAACGTGGGCTCGAGGATGTCGCGGTTGACGATGTCCATGAGCGCCGGGGTGGCGATGGGGGTGGGGGCGTAGCAGCCCATGCCGCCCGTGTTGGGGCCCTGGTCGCCGTCAAAGATGCGCTTGTGGTCCTGGGCGGCGGGGAGGGACTGGAAGTTGGTGCCATCGGAAAAGGTGAGGATGCTGAGCTCCTGGCCGTCGAGGTACTCTTCGATGACGATCTCGTCGCCGGCGGCGCCGAACGCGCGGTCGACCATGATTTCTTGGACGGCGGCGCGGGCCTCCTCCTTGGTGGTGGGGATGATGACGCCCTTGCCGGCGGCGATGCCGGTGGCCTTGATGACGACGTCGTGGGAGATGGTGTCGAGGTAGGCCAGGGCCTGGGCCGGGTCGGAAAAGTTTTCGTAGGCGGCGGTGGGGATGTTGTGCCTCTTCATGAAATCCTTGAGTACGTCTTGCTGCCCTCCAGCTGGGCGGCCTCGAGGGACGGGCCGAAGCAGCGGATGTTGGCGGCGCGGAAGTGCTCCGACACGCCGGCGACGAGGGGCGCCTCGGGCCCGGGGACGACGAGGTTGACGCCGCGGGCGCGGGCGAACTCGACGAGGGCGGCGAAGTCGTCCGGGTCGACGTCGGTCACGTTGGTGACCTTGGGGCAGAGGGCGGTGCCGCCATTGCCGGGGACGACGAGGATGGACTCGACGCGGGGGACTGGGCGAGCTTCCAGGCGAGGGCGTGCTCGCGGCCTCCGTTGCCGATGAGGAGGACTCGGATGGGGCCTTTGAGGACGGCGGCCATGGTTTTGTGTGTGTGTGTGTGTTTGTTCTTAGTATTGTTTTCCGGCGGGGGAAAGGTTTTCGGCGCAAGAAGGGAGGAGGAGGAGGCTTTCTATGAGGAGAATTGGCCGAGTGTTAGTACGCTCTGCCGGGGTGATTCTTTTTGGGCCAATTCTTAAGAAAAGAAGAGGTCAAGGGAGGGGGAGAGAGAGAGGGCCAGAAAAGAGCTCGTTGAGGCCGTCGCGGGCGCAAACATGTGGTTCAACTTTTTTCTTCTTTCCCTTTTCGTATGGTGGGGTTGCAAAATATTTCCCGGGAGGAGGGGCAACTCTTGGAGGGGAGGCGCCGGCACCGGGGGAACAAGACTTGACGTTTACGAAAAAAACATACCTTGGAGGCTTGAGAGACTGGGAGCTCTCTAGAATTCGAAACCCAATGCAATGGGTTGTTCGAGCCTTGCCAGATATCTGTGTGGGCTAATGAAGATGTTCAATTCCTTCTTTATTCTTCCCTTCACAAGACGAAGCCTCAGCGAGACGAAGAAAAAAAAAAGTTTCGTTTTGAAATAAGAGCCATTTGTTAGCCCGTCGCAAGCTCAAGACTGTTAACAAGTTCAATGTTCTCTCCAGTCACTTGAAGCTAGAACACAGGCAGGACGTGACTTGGAGGGTACCTCGTCCGTCGCTTCAATTTTCTTCTTGAACCCCGCGGTTGCATGTATAAAAGCGCATACCAACCAAATGCTTCCTTTCCTGTTCTTTTTTCCCACCACCCGATTCGCCCGCTGGCTAGTTTCCATCCTAAGGATTTCAGAAAATTCAGCGAGTCAGAGGGAGAAAAAAGCGTTGACGAACCGCAGCGGGAGCACAAGAATCAAGGTTGCTCTTCGTACGACCTACGGACTCCAGCGTAAGCCCCGTCTGAGTGGCCCGCGTTGATTCTTTTGTGCTCTCCGTGACCGATTCCGCCTCGATATTATTACTTGGCCGTACCACGCACCGGATGGGCTGGTAAAACTCCAGCCATGATAGGTGTCTCCACGACGCGTTATGGTCTACTACATGCGGCTGGCTTTACGAGGTTCGTCGGCGGGCGTAGTGAAACTCGACGAGGCACCCTGATCCATTCTAGAAATGAGGGTGCCGGCGCACAGTCTTTGATGATTGGAACACAAGGGATGAACAGGTTGCTTAGATGACGAGCGCGGGGAGCAAGGGGGGGAAGGACAACGTCGAAGAATGAAAAGAAAAGGAAAAGAGGGGAGGCAGGCATATTTCTCAAAGCTTTTCGGTACATATGGGGGAGATGATGCCGCACTTTGGTCTCTGCTGCTCATATTATCTCATAGTCCGGCGCAAAGAACAAGGCAGAAGGAAACGGGGTGAGAGTCCCGAGCCTGGGCCTATCCCATCACGGGCCGACGCACAAGGACTGATTACTCGCAGGCAAGATGCCGCGCATCTGTTTTTCCTGTTCGCCGCGTGCTGCGTATACTGTTCGCGACCTTCCGGAATCTGCTGCGGAGCACCGCAACCCCTCCTCTCCCCCGCGGGAGGAGTAAAGGAGGAGGCGGAATATCCAATGTGCTCACGTGTGAACCTGTGGGCTCGTTTGAAACTAGACGAAGCTGGGTGCCGAGCACTTTGAAGAGTGGGGGAAAAAGGTAGGGGTGAGAAGGGGAAACAAGGGGAAGCGGGGGAAGGGAAACAAGGCGCCCCGAAGCTCTCTTTCACGTTGCTCGTGAACGATAGGTTCTCCCGCGTTGGAGATCGGCGTCCAGCGGAACAAGCAGAGACTCTGTTCGGCCGCAAGGCTTTTGGTTTTTCGCAGGCAAGGGGGCAAGCGGGGGTTGCTCCAACCTTTTTCGCCACCTTATATTATTCTCTTTTTGTTTTCCCCACTTCCTCGATGCATCTATAGATCTACCCAAAGTTTCCAAGACATATATACACGCCGCGGCTGCCTCCCGGACCGGTGCGTTGTCTAACGGCCCGACTTTTACGACAAGCTCTCAAAAGAAGGGACACCCCCTTCTCACGGGAAGAAAGAAAAAAGAGACAAAAAAGAAAACAAAAACTAGGAAACCGGCGGTTGTGGGACAGGCAATTGATGGCTTCCAAGGCGGGCGGGCGGAGCCGCACAAGGGACAAAAAACGACAAGAAAAAGGCCCCCGTTCCGTCCAATACCTGTTCTCCTCGCCATGTGAGTTGTAGGGGGTTCAAGGTTGATGTTCACACCTCTGCTCTGCTGCACGTGCAGGGCTGTGGTCGACAAAATTTGTCCTCGTGATCAAGCCTCCGCCTGGCGAGGGGAGGGCAACCCGGAATAACAAGGCTCCTCGCTCCAAGCGAACGAAACGTGGGATGAACCTCACCCGCTCTTTTGTCCGAAGGGCGGTTGGCAACGTTGGCGGCTGCTGCCTCCCTTCCCCTCCTCTCTCTTCCTTTTGTTTTCTTCTTTTCTTTCTTTTTCTAGTACCCGCCCGGGAACGAACTAGTCGATAAGAGCAAAGGGGCGGCGACGGCGGCGGCGGTGGTGGTGGTGGGGGAGGGACGCACCCAGTTTCAAGAAAAGAGGATGGGAAAGAAGCGTGATACTTGGTCTTGTTCGATATCAGAGTCTTCAATTGTTGGAGCACCAATTGTCAAGCGGGAGTCCACTCTTCCACCACGCACCACATCCTCTCTTGCTTTCCTTTCCTGATGTTCTTTGATCAAGTTGGTACATATCGTCTATCGGTCGGTCCCCCACACCGCCGTCCAAGTCCCAGTCCGGGCCCTACCATATCCTTCCCTTCACCTTGTGGGTAAGGTCGGACTGCCCGAGATCGGTTGTGGGGACGTGTGGCTGTGGTTTTTTGGAGGGTTTTTTTCTTCGGGGTCTTCCTCCACTGACATGACCTCCTTTTTCTCGGTGATGGATCGGGAGCCACAACGGAGCTGGGCTTGATAATGGTATCCCAGTTATAATAATAGAAACATCTATGGCTCCTTTCCACCCGACGAAAAACTTTCTTTCCACGATTACGACTGCTAAGCTAAAGCCTAATCCACTGCCAGGTATATTTCTTTTTCTCTCTCTTTGGTTTTTTTTTCCTTCTCCTCATCCAAACCCCTTGCTCTTTGCACATGCAGTTTCCCACCCTACCAACTCATGAGTGAGGTGGGCGGGAGGCAGATGTGTGCTTCGCAACCAAGGTAACGGAGGGAAATCCGCTGGGCGGCGGGAGGCGGAAGGGAAACATGGATGCAGGGCATACATCATAAGACCAGATTAAAACCCCCTTCCCCCAAACAAGAAACGCCCCAAAAGGGAGAGAAAGGAGAGATAGTGTAGATAGCGTAGATGACGCAGACGCAGATGACGAGCTCAAGGGTGGGAAAAAAAGAAGAGGGTGGGAAGAAAGAGGGGAGGGACTTCAGCAACCCTCCCTGTTTCGCGAGTCTGGCGCTCTCAGATATCTAGAGATGGGGAGATGGGGAGATGGGAAGGTGATTGATTTGATATCCGGCCAGAAGCCGCTGCTATCCGAGCGCGGCGTGCTCTCGATATCAACATGATAAATTGCGATAGAGTACAAACTTCGGTTTGCGACGCACCAAGGGAACACAAAGTGCGGAAAGGAGCCCTGCTCCTCCTCTTCCGAGGGTTTCAACTCTGGCTATTACAAGTCATTTTCTACAACGTTGTCTTGGGGGACCAAGGTCGCTTATGTGGAGTTTGCTATGATTTGGAGATACCTGGCTCCTGGGAATCGCAATTGACCTGTCAGGTCTTATCTGAGCCGTTGCAATGCCAGAGCTGCTGGGACGCGATATGCGGGAGGGGCTAATAATACTATTGTTCTTAGTGGACAAAAGCCATCAAATTTGGAGAAGGAACATTTGAAGACAAGCTAGGTATAATAGTACGGTGGGGAAGCTGAGGCCCCCAGCTGGGAATCCTCGGCCGGTTCCACCCTGAACCAAAGGGGAGATCCTTGATCTTATCAGGCATCGAAATGCCTAAATGAGGGAAATGGATAGTAGGGAGGACAAGGAGGGGCGGGAGAGAAAGAGAGGGAGAGAGCGAGAGAAGGAGAGGGTGGGAGAGGGAGCAGCCATCGGTAATATCAGAAAAGCACGAAACCATAAATGAAGTGGAAGGAGAAGAAGAAGAAGAAGAAGGAGAACGAGGTGGTGCGGTGCAGATCCGGTGATCTGGCGTGGCGTGTGTTTCGCTTGATACCAGCGTGCTGGGATTCCTTCATTTTCGCTCTTCCTTTTCCACGTCGGGCTCGCTCTTCCATGACGCGCCCACGCGAGCTTGGGAGGAAAGAAGACGGAACCCGTGAACGTCGGACAAGGGTTGCCGTGCGCCAGACGGAGGAGCCGCCGGGAACGAGGGGGATCCACGAAGCTGGATGGGCCACACTTTCTTTTTCCAATCCCCATGTGCATCATTTCGCTCTTGGTGGTGGTTTTTCGGTTTGTGTGTGTGCCAAACTCGACATTCAGACCTCGACAGACTCGGCACTCGGTTTTCAGACGACACATCGCCGCTGGCCCAGGATGGGATGCGAGGGCAGTAACACTGAATTGATGGAAAGGTTCCCCTCCCCCACTCCACCTTCCCAAGAGGAATTGCTTCTTTTGGTGGTGGGTGGCCTTGGGGCTGGCCAGCCAAGACTAGCCAAGCCAATGGAAGGATGGTGGAATTGGTCGACTGCCCCCGCCACACTGGCTTCGTGAGAAAGGTTCCCCGACTCCGAGAGGAAGGGGGCAGTGGAGGGGGAGCATCCCTGTCCACTTATCGACCTTTCTGCCCCTCGAGGATGGGTTGCAAGATTGCACCGTAGGAGTGGGCTGCAGACTAAAAGTCCCTAGCGACCGTCCTCAGTCTTGGGACCCAATTACTGCAGGCCCCATCGATTTCGAACCCCGGAAGCTTAGCGCAAAAGTCTTCACTGCATGCTGCCATTCATTTCACCCAATCCCTGTCCCCCATTGTCGTGAAGACTACCAGACATCATCATCGAGATCTCGGCTTCTTCTCTTCGAGGCATGATTCCATGAACTTTGTGCGGTTTGAAGCTCAGCCCACCAAATTCGAGAACATGATATTCCCCCTCTCCTAAAATGCCAACTCCCGGCATTGAAGATGCGCCAACCCGCATCTCTTCACTCGGATCCGAAGCTGGGAGACAGGGTCGCTGATCTCGGATCGTGAGACATTCGATGTCTACCCTCTTCTTTGAGGACCTGGATACAAAAAGAAGAGAGATGAGGGGGCGGCCTGCTCTACGCGACGGTCTCAATGCGCAACCACCCATTTTCCTTGGCCGCCTGGGGATGGGATGCTCTAACCTTGTCCTTTTTGCTTATTCTTTTTTCTTCTTTTTCTTTTGCTCCCTTGCACAGCGAGACCATGCGGCCGTCGTTAAGAAAGCGGAATGGACTTCTCCATCTCTACTATACTCTCACCGTTTCTTCCTCTCTCGCTCGCGCTCTCGCTCTCTCGCCATACGGACGACATGTCGCGTTGGTTGTTCCTGATGCTCGCCTTTTCCGGCGACCGCCTAATAGTCCGGTTCGGCTCCTGTCGTCCTCGGTACGCAATTCCAGTTAGCGTGGAGCTGTGTCTCCACCCTATCGACCAGAAGACAGACATTTGATCTTCCAGCCAAAGTCCTCACTGTCCTCGGTGCTTTTAGCCTTGTTCGAGTGATTATCAACGGGAGGGCCACAAGAGTTTGACTGGCTCGGAGGACCTATTGACAACCCGGCACTGGGCGCTAAGGAGTAGCAAACACAACGCTTGCACAATGACTTGATTGAGCCTGGGTACCGAATAGATGAGTTTGTGTGGAGAAGAAAATCAGGAATTGATTAACCCCAATCGGCCAGATCGAACAAGTTGCCAGGTTCTGTCCTTCTGTCTTTGTGTCTACTGAATAGCACCCCCGTTCCGCCTTCCCCCAATTGCGACAGAACAAGGGCATAGACTAGACATGGACAAGGGCAGGGACAATCCATCCAGCGCTCGGTCCCGGACGCGCTTTCTTCGTTGTTATGTTGCCCGAAAGACTTTGTAAACAAATTTGTCCAAGGCTTTGGTCACAGGTACCTGGCTATAGCTTGCTGAGAGCTTCTATCGCCTTCGCAGCCTGCATTCAATTACATAGCGTACATAGCGGATGGATCGGTCTTACGAAGTAGTTGGGTTGGGTTGGATTTTTTTTTTTTCTCTCTCGGTTTCCCCATCCCCCTCTCTCCTTCTTTCGTGGCTGGGACTGAGCCAGGGTCGCAGCAAAGAGCTTCCCCCATCCAACCTTTTCTGGCTCTCACATCCCGCATCCCGCATCCCGCACCTATTATCCAAATCTCCTCCCGTCAAGGCCTTCACCGCTTGGTCTTTTTTTCTTTCTTTTTCTCTTCTTCTTCATCCCACGGGACTGTGCATTGAATATCCCTCGCACACCCGCGATTGGGCAGACTAAGAGATTGTGAGCTAAGAGAGAAGGAGAAGTGAAGAAGCCGGTCATCAAATAAAGAACCTCTTGTTCAGCCCTGAGTCACCACCAATTGCTTGTACCTTGTGCTTGCCTGTCGCATTTTTGTGTGCGCCGCCCATGCGCCTTGCCTCATTACTCCCTGGGAGTCCACCACTTGACCATTGTTCGGGGGTGGGTGGGTTTCCTTCTTTTTTTTTTTTTTTTCCTTGGACTAGTGTGTATTTTTTTCTCTCCCCATCTTCACTATTGTAGATCTTTTTCTCTTCTTCTTTCTCGTTGGTCTTGATAGATCTCGCCTCTTTCTCTTATTACCTTCCTCCCTTTCAACTCCTACCTTTCTCTGGAATTTGTGCCCCATCTGACGCCCTTCGCTTGCACTCCATTTCGATTTTTTCCCCTCCGTCCTCTCACTCCCTGCTGTCGGCGCACGCGTTGGCCCCCACAATTGGGACGCATGTACAAGTAGGACACGGACACAGCATCCTCTTTTTAATTTTCTCGAAACAAAGAGAAGCAGAAGGGGGAACCGCTTTGTACGGGCGCGCGCAAATCGAACAGGGAGGGACAAAAACATCGCCTGATTTCGTGCGACAACTCCTTCACCCCCAGGTCAGATCATCACGAGAGAGAGAGAGAGAGAGAGTGCGAGGAAAGAGAGGCACAGACAGCCTGCCAGAGCCAGAGTGGGTGGGCGCAGTGCGAGTGTGTGCGCGTGTGAGTGGGTGCGTGAGAGTAAGTGTGCTCGTGTGCTCGACGAAAAAAAAAGAGACTCCCATGCGCCATGCGCATACCGATCAAACTCTGTTCGCCTCTTTGTCCACTCCGCTCCACCCTGGCTGTAATCCGACACGGTTAAAATAGCGATGGATGACGCCACGAGGCTGATCTCCGAACTTCAAGCACAGTTGGCAGAGCTGGACCACAAAGTGACTACTTACCGCCAGGACCTCGCCGACGGATTCTTGCGACATTCGCGCCAGCTTCTCTCCGATCTCGATCCCAGCCTGTCTGCTCGCGTCCAGGACGCCCTCGCCCACTGCCTTGGCTCATACCCGGCCATCAGCCCTGCACTAATAACCGGATCCGCCGCAGACCTAGAGGCGCCCATTTTCGGCACGGCGGCACTGGTTACTGGCTCGCCAGCGCTGACATTTCAGGCCCCAGGCCCCCTAGGTGCCTTAGCCAACCCCGACATCCACTTGAAGTCGTTGAAGCCAAGAACTGCTCAGGCTGCAGCGCCCATGGAGACTGCAACTGCAACCGCGACAGGGCCTCTGGCCACAGCCCCAGCGCAGGCATCAGCGCCAGCATCAACGCCAGCACCGGCACCAGCACCAGCACCAGCACCAGCCTCAGCACGGGCACCGAACCCAAATTCCAGTCCCACACAGCAGCGGCCAGCGCCAACGCCGACCGCCCCTGGTCCCACTTCAGCGACCACAACCAGAATAACCCCAACCCCAACCCCAACCGGCCTCGACCGAGCTGAGTCACCAAGCATAGCGACGCCTGCTACTCCTGGCGATTACCCCCTGTTCCTGCCGCTCCTGCCTCGTGCTCAGTCCCCACCACTCCCACTTCCCACTCCACAACCAGTAATAATAGCACCTTTGACTCCACCAACTCCATTGCTACGACGGCCAGCGCCGCCGCTGCTCCTGTTGCTGCCGCATCCCCTTCTGCCGATCACGAGGGCTCGCCTCCCACCTCCCGGTTCCCTCGCTCCTCGACGCCACCCTCTCTTCCACCCTCATCGACAGCCCTTCCTCCACCCTCTCAGTCTGTCGGCGCCACTGATTCCATGTCCGATTCGCCAGACGACCGAGAAGCCGAGCTTCGCGGGGTTTTCACCCCTACTTACCTCCCCTTGTCGACGGTTCCATCGACCGCCTTCGATCACCACCCACACCCCCGAGGTCGTCGAGGTCCTCCACTAAACAACCCCCTTCCAGAATCACAAACCTTCCGACAATGGACGTCGCCGCAGCAGCTTCCGCCGGTGCCGCGGCCACCACAGCCTCCTCGACCTCGCCAACTTCTCCCCAACTCTCCTCGCCTCTCTCCCCACGTCTGCAGCTATTGATGCAGAGATCCTCAGCGCTGCGTCGAGCTCGCCAGCCTCGATTCACTTGCCCACGAGACCTTCCACCACCCGCCGTGCCACGGACGACGTGTCGACCTCTTCGGTTCTCTCGGATAAGAGCGACTCCAAATCTCGGCGGAGCGCCCTGCGCCGCTCTTCCAGCTCGTCAAAGCCCCAGAGCCCCGGCGGGTGCGTTTCGATGTTGGAGGTAACCAGGTCTTACCCACCTCGTCCCCCTCAACTAGTCTCCAGGATGTCAGGCAGCAGCCCGGCACGAGTAATTTATACACGATCCCCGTGCTAAGGGAGGACCCCGATCACTCGACGGCGACATTGAGTGCGGCCGTGATTCTCGGCCTGTCGGATCTGGAAGAGAACGAAGGGCCCCGGCCTAAAAGGTGACATCGTCCCAGGCCCTGAGGATGCTCTCGAAATTACCGCTCGATTCGAGCACCGTCTGGATACCCGTTACGCAGGACCCCGACCCGGAAGCGGACGAGGGCGACGTAATAATACCGCCAGTAGCGCTAACCAAGGCCAAGAATTCCCTCACCTCGTTGAGGGACGCTGAGAGGGCAAAGCGAGGGCCTGATCGCGTGCGCATGTTGTTGGGGGCACCGGCGCAGCAATTAGATCGGCAGGAAGAAGTGGACGAGGAAGAACAGGACGGGCAGGAGGATGACGCCGACGACGACAGCTCCTCGGACGACGACTTTTTGTCCATGGGAAGGTCGAGGGCGCCCCGGCCAAGAGACCCCGCCGGCCCCGCGGTCCAAGACTCACCCAGCACCCTCGTCGGGATCCGGTACTGGCGGGAATACTTTGGCGGGGGCGGAATCGTCGAAGCCGAAGCCTAGCCGCTCACAAAGCGCGGAGGATACTGTGATTACTCAACCTTTGCCGGCGAAAACGAAGGCTCCCGAGCGGACGCACACCGATGCTGACGGGGAGACGTGTTCGATTTCGAAATATCCGAGGGCATGGTGAAGGCTACCGCTCCCGCGCAACCTCCGGCACCCGAGGAGGAGTCTGAGTCGGAAGTCGAGGAGAGCTCCTTGCAGCAGCACCCCGGCCCACTCAATCTTTATTCAACATCACCCGCTGTCAACATACTCGCCCCTGCGCGAGCGGCGGCATCAGCTCCAGCGCCAGCGGCACCCAAGTTCCAGACGCCCACCGTCGGGTCATATATGGGCCGCTCCATCACGATGCCTGTCGTGATCGACCCCGAGGTACATGAGCGAGCAGCGGCCTTGGGCGACTTCAACACGTTTGTCGGTGGACTAGATGGCCGCAGCGGCATGGACGACGGCGACCTGAGCAGCTTCCGAGCTAGCCTCACGACGGCGGGCGTCTTTTCGGGAACGCCCAGAAGCCTGACGGAGAGGATGTTGATGGAGGAAGCGATGGGTCTTGGAGAGAGGGACAACAGTCCGGTCACATCGAAATAATCAATAATGGCCCCCTCCCTTTTCGCATGTGGCCTCGCCTCGCCTCGCAGCTGAACGGACCATGGGCCCCCGTTCAAAAGAGATTTCTTGTTTTCAACACACGCATCTACTTCTCTTTTGTTTTACTCTATATTTCACCCCGCACATGCCTCATATTTCTTCTGGTGTGCTTTGCGGGTTCGGGTTCTTGTTAGCAGGGAGTGGTCGCGCTCGGTATCATATCCGGCTTGCTGTCCCTTTCCTTTCCTTTTTCCTTATTTTTTTCTTTTACTTTTTCACTCGACGCATAAGGCCATCTAAACCGGGCCCATCACTGGGCGAAAGGCAGGGAAGTGTTGCGCTCCATCATTCTTGATTTTCTTCTTCATCTCTTGATTCGACCTTTTACCACCTAACTACCTAACTCTACGATCCATATTCTCCCTTCTTCTCGTGTCTCCTCCCCGCTCTTGCCCCCGACGCAAGGGATGGGGACGGGTTTGGTCATCGGCGCATATTTTCGAAGAGGGAGGGATTCTCTCATCATTTCTTTTCTTGCTTTTATTATATAAATAAATCTCATTCCCCTTTTTTTTTTTTTTTATTCAGCTGTGTTCCAACTTCCATTCCTTTTTTTTTTCCCCTTCTTCTTGTTTTTCTTTTTCCTCTTCACCCTTGCGTATACTTTTTTTTTCGACTATCCTCATATTTTTACGGTATTGTCATCCGGAACAAAGAACCGGGCTTAAAGATGGTGGAAACGGAGGGAGGGCATATCATTGATTACTTTACTACATACACAATGGTCAGAATAACGGGTTTGGGAGGAGTCTCTTTTTTCCTCCCTGGATTCTCATTTTCACTCTAATACCTCTTGCTCATGTGTGTGTGTGTGTGTGTGTGTCTACATTTGTTTATGTGTATCTGTGAGTTGGAATTCAGGGTTCTCTGTCTTTGGCGCCTGCGCACCGCCCTTGCTTTCCGCTCATGATCACGTTGTTCAATGGAGGTAATATTCCTTCTAGTCTCTCTATATGCACTTTTGGAATCTCTCGAGTCAGTCCATGACTGTAGAGCAAGAAATGCACATGTATCCCATCAAGGGCAACGAATGCATCATCCGTGATCCTCTCCGCGCTTCCATTAAGCCTCTCCCCCACCGGGCCCCTCTGAGGTGACGTATATGGCCTGCAGCATGCTCCGCGTGCAGCAGAGGAAGCCGGAAATATACGCCTTTCGTCCGAAGATTTCATCTGCCGAGTTCGACGAGAGAGCGTAAAGTGAGGCAAACAGATATTTGGGGTCACGGTTCCTTCGGCTGCCTCGTTTTGGGGAGGGGGCCTTCCTCTTTGGGAACGTTCGCTTTGGCCCGACCCCTTATACGTCGTGCGATATAGGACGACGATCACCTGGGGATTTAATAGAAACAAGTGCACCATCGTGTTGGGCGGCAACTTTGGCGAAGCGCATCAGGCTGCTGCCTCCGTGCTGGGGGCTGGCAAGGCTAGGCAACCCCTGCGAGAAGCTTCGTCATGGTTCGTGGAAGGAATGATAACTTGGGAGGGCTATATGTGTGATGACGCCGAATCCCTTTGTTCTTTGTTTTTTTTTTTCTTCTTCCTTTTTCTTGCCGGGTTAGTTGTGAATTTCCCTCCTTTCCTTTACTTGGGGTCGGCAGCTCCGGCCTCTCTATTGAGATCGGCAACAATCTACAAGGTCACGGAACACACTATCGACCCAACCCAGCTTTTCTTTTCTTTTCTTCGATGCCCAACCTGTCCGCAGTGATCGTCCGGGAGCCCGAGCTCAGCGGGTCTCGTCACCTGTCTGTTGCGGGTGATGATATTGCCTAAAATGGTTCTTGTGACCGGTCGTTTACCGGGGCGGTTTTATTGCTATTACACTGTTCTTATTATTGTTGAGGTGAGAGATTTTATACGATGCGAGAGGGGCAAATGGGAGGAGCTATGCAGTGGTGGATAGATGATCCGCGCCGGCGCTCAAAGGGAGGGAGAAAGGGGGAAGAAACATCGCTTCCCCGGAGACTCGGAAGAAGCCGACCTGCGGGAGAGCTGCGCATCATCCCGATAACTTTTTTCTTCTGTTTCGGTATGAAATATGCGTGCGTCCACGGAGGGCACCCTTCCCCCGCAAAACCCGATTTTTGGTTATGAAAAATCCCCGGATCAGTGGCCCTCCTCTATTTGGGATCTTGTCAAGTTGTGCGGCTTAATTATTCCCGGGAATCTGGGAAGCTTGTTCCTTGGGTTTGGTTTTTGTCTGGCGCCCGCAGCAGAGGAAGGGAGGGGAGGGGGGCGTGAAAAGCGTAACGGGGAATAGAAACAAAACTCGGAGCAGATAGAAAAGGGGTAAAAACCAAGAGGGACGGATGGGGGTGGGTTGAGAAGAGGTGAGAGGTGATATCAGTTCCCGAGTCTTTGTTTGCTTCGGGGTTTGAAATGTGATAGAAATTCTGGGGCAGGGTGCAGCCGGCGATGCAGCCAGCGTGCGGTGCAGTGCCGTTGAGGGTGGGGGACTATGGAGTTTGAGGACTGAGGTACGATTGAGGTCCAAGGTTTTTGATTCGGGATGCATTCACAGTATTATTCATGGGTTCCTTTCAGTGGCTTGTGCTACTATGTATGTGTGGTGGAACAGCAGGTGCGCCACATGTTGAAGGGCCGCCTCACCGTTTGGTGATGGCTGGGCCTAGGCCTCAGTAGAAGTTGCCTTGTCGCAGTCTTCAATGTTGGTTTCTTTGTACGATTCTGCTATTGATCCATTCTGGTCAATTCTTAGTGGGTGAATTGTCCAGTTGTCAAGTGGCAGGCGGGACGGGACTGAGCCGAGTGGATTAGAAACGTACGGTTTTCCTGAGCGCTGGTTGGTCACTTTCTTTTCTCTTTTTTCTCCACCAGCGCAATCAACATCGGCTGAGCCGCAATTATTTTCTGGCCTGACGAAGAAACAGAGCACGCGGAAATCGACGGCCACAAACGAACGAGCGAACAAAGACCACGACGAGCAACTCTCTGTTGAAGCAGCAAGATTCACGCGCGCGCGGACGACGATACCCGAGATAGACACATCCATAGTTTTCGCATGCGACTCAATTGAACTACATATCTTGTACCACTGAGGAAAACGGCACAATGGGCGGACTTAACCTCGAAGTTTTCAAGGTACGTTCCCACCACTCCACCTCCCAGCCTATAGCCCTCGCAGCACCCCTTGTTTTGCCCGGTTCATCGCCGTGAACGTGGCGGAAGGGCCGGGGAAAGGGAAAGACAGGGAAGGGGAAAGGAAACATAAAAAACTGCCCGGGCCCCAAAGCCACTTGACATCGGACCCTCGCTCACACTACAGCGTCACAGTTCGGGATGTACCTGCTCTTCCCCATCGGCATCATGTACCACTTTGGCACGAACCTCGACAGCCGATTCGCAGTAGAGGGCTTCTGGCCCAAGCCCGAGGAGACGAACAAGGTGCCGCACTCCAAGGAGGAGATCAAGGCCGAGTACGAAAAGATTGTCGCGCGGCAGCGGGTATTGATGGAGAGGAGGGCGATGCAGGAGGCGTCGAGGCCGGAGGGCGGCGCGTCCACGACGCAGGAATAGACGGGCGGAAAGAACAAGAATAATGGGCCTCTTCACCCTCATGCCGCTGGGTCGGTTCCGCCTTGCGCCCTCTGGGGATCCCTCCTTACCGGTTCAGCGGCGAAACGACGCTTTCGATAAGCAACGAGCGGTCTTTGACGTGCTAGACCACTCTTGAGAAATGGGGCCTAGGAACAAACGGGACAATCACGTGCCGGACGCTGGCGATCTTGGGAGAACTCTGGGCTGCGCGAGGATGGAGCATCGGCAGGTGGCAGTGTACGAATATGATGGGGAGGGAAAGAGAAGGATGGCCACGACCAGGCTCGGGTCTAGGTGGACATCTTCATTTTGATTCTGCGTCACGCTGGAACATTCTCCTCTCTTCACGCGGCGGACCCGCGGGGTTTAGCTTTGCTTGTACAATAAATGTCATGTGAATATGTATACATAGGGGAAAGACATGCCATCATTTCTCTAGCATGGAGCCCGGTCTAGAAGCAGAACCCCACAGGGGCAAACACGCCTAACAATAAACCAAAAGGCAACAAAAAAGAAAAAGAATCTAAGCTTATTGTACAATGATCATATACACATCCGGGTGCCGGGGAGGGGGATAGAGGAAAGGGAAGAGTCCAAGCTATGCCCAGTTTCTACGGCAGGATCAAGTTGTCTTGAATCCTAGCCCACAGCTCCTCAGGGATATCGCCCTTTTCCGCATTGATATACGAGGCCGTCACCTCGGAAAAGTCATCGAGCGCCTCAAAAACTTGGCAAGCTCCTCCCCGTCACCTTGCTATCGACCGCGACCTTGAGATCCTCCTTGGGCCGCCACACGAGATCCACGCTCCGTGGCTCCACGCCCAAGGCCTCCTTGGCAACGGCCACGACGGCGCCCGTGGCCGCGGCCTCGGTCCAGACCGTCGCCTCGCGGCCCTCGACGTCGACGTCGAGCACGCCCTCCTCGCCCAGCACGGCGGCCATGACCTCCTCCTCCCACTCGGCGCACGTCTTGGCGCCGCCCGCGCCCGCGGCGTCGTCGAGCTCCAGCACCACGCGGCCGCGGTGCTCAAAGTAGAAGAGCGTCGAGCCGGGCTTGCCCCGTTCTTGCGCACCAGCGAGTTGAGGTCCTGCAGGCTCCGGAGCCGGCTGTCCGTCTCCACGTCCAGCACGAGCGCGACGCTGCCGGGGAGCACGGCCTCGACGGTGACTTTTCCAGGGCGGCGCCGGATTGGGAGCGGGCTTGGCCGCGGGCGATGGCGCGCTCGATGAAGGCCGAGGTTACGTTGGCGGCCTTGGCGGCGGCGACGGCGGCGGCGAGGGCGGGGTTGCCGTCTTTGTATTTGGGGCCTCCTTCTGTTGGGGTGGAGGGGCCCGCAGGGCGAGTTTGTCAGTGCTGCTATGGTTTGGGTCATGCGGGAGTGCAAAGGGGGGTGCATCTTTTGACAAGAATCAGGTGTGGGATGGGAACATGGTGCATGTGCATGGCCGGGACAGCATAAAAGGAAGATGAAAGGGGGTAGCTAGACAGTGACAAAGGGAGAAAGGGAGGACAAAGGGTAACCTATGCTCGCGTGGGAGGTGAAGGGTGCCGAGTGGAGTGTTGACAAGGAAAAAGAATTCTTACTTCTAGAAGCATCCGCGATGGCCTTGGCGAAGGCAATGTTCTGCACGCTGCGCTTGCGGTCCGCGGCGCCCTTTTCGTGGCGGATCTTGGACCATTTGTTGTGCCCGGCGCCGAGGCGCGCCGAGGCCGTAAAGCTTCGGGAGGACAGTGTCGCCGCCGTGCTCGATGGGAGGGCTTGGCCGAGGAGGGCCCAGGGCCGGCACCGCACCACGGAAAGGTGGAGCGGGGCCATTTTTTCATACGAGGAAGAACAGGCGAGGTGTTTGGGAGTCTACGTTGAAATGAGGCCTTCTTTTGGCTAGGATGGGGAAATGGGCGCATTTCTCCTGCGAAGCAACATCATCAATTGATCGTCGTAAAATGCACTTTGGGGAAAACTAGGGTGGAGACTTGGGCGGCAGGTCCTCGGCTAAACCTTATAAGCGCTCTCAGGCTTGACGACCACCCTATCCTCGTAGGCACCAGGTGAATGGCGAGACAACTAACACGCCGGAATGCCGCTGGACGTTTTTCCTCGAGAACTGTCAGGATGCGTTGAAAAGTTAGAGCAAGTTAAAAGTAGCGAAGAAGAAAGATCCCGGGGCGCGCTCTAGTCCTCTATCCACTCTGTACACTAGCCCCTACTATCGATCACATCGACGCACTGCTCCCAGGCTTTGGATTCTTGTCTCAATACATGTATTCATTGATGTCGGGGAGGTAGGCTGCGAGACCACCACCGAGCTACATTAATCAACCCTCTATTTACTCACGCCTTCTTCACCTCAATCCCGCACTCCTCGCTAATCTAATGTTCACCAGGCTCGCTCTCTCCTATCAGCTCCGGCCACTCTGTGTACTGAATCTGGGCGATAAGCTGATTCCGAAGCTGCCATACTTTGTCAAGCCTGTCCCCGAGCACCTGGCGAATGGGTTCCATGGCCAAGTCATCGCCAATCATGTCTGTAACCTCGAGAGCCTTCTCCACGGCTTCCAAAGAAAACCAATCACACACATCAAGCAGAAACATAACTGCACCATAACCAAGGTGGACCGCACCATCCAAGCACGTCATACCATCCTTCCACCGCTCATTTACATCCATCCGGCATTCTCTGCTTAATAATTCGCGAAGAAGCTCAAAATTGCCCCGACTAAGTAGGTCATGGACGAGGCCTCTCTCAGCAGAGGCTAGTGTCGATACTTCGACCCTCTTGTCATCAAGAAGCTCATACAGCGTCCGAGGCCTACTCTGTTGCAGAGGTTCTAGGCAAAAATACAGGATGTACTGGACCGGGGTTATTTCCAGGTCGCTCGGCAGTGGGTGCTTTAATTCGATAGCTTTGAGCACACATAGCTGCCATGGACTCAACGAGGACAGTTGGGTATTGGGGTCAATGCCGTCATATCGTAGGACTGTCCCAATAGATCTTTTGTCCCAGGATATGGTGTTAGTCGTGATTGTGAACCACAACAACAAGGCGCCGTGGCTCGCATCGACGATGGCATCCTGAAGGAAAGGAAGAGAACTTTTCTGATCTAAGTTTTCGGCTACTTGCCTCAATATGCCCGCCATGGCCAAGGGCTCAACCTCTTGCAGTAAACGAGCAAAGTTGAAATCAAGGCATAATTTTTCCACCGCCTGATCCAAGCCCTCCAAGAAATAGATATTCCCGAACCCACGGCCTGCGATAATATTCTCCTTCATAGAAGCCGACATGATGGATCGAAATCTAGAATCGTCGCTTTCAAGGATAACTGCAAGGACCTCGGGCCAGTAGCCATCGATGTTGGCTCCGTAACGTATTAGGATGTTCACTATCTCATGATGTTTACCAATTATGGCTGCTCGGAGGGGTGAATAGGGGAGTCCTCATGGTTCGCACTCGCCAATGGATGTCGAAGCAGATGCAACACAGATTCTTTGTCTCCTGCGAAACAGGCCTTCTCCAAAACATTATTTATCTCATCAGCGTCGTCTTTCTTGATGACTCCCTCGACGCCGGCGGTGATGTCAACAAGGAACGTAAGGGTGGAATAGTTACGCAGAGACACAGCTTTCCTTATAGCTAGCAATAGACAGCGACCCATCTTGGCTTCATCTTGCTGCAAGAGGAAGCTCGGGATATCGAAACAGTCGCCCTTAATTGCAGCTGCAGTCAATTCCATCCATAATGAAATCCTCATCTTAGAGAAAATGTTCATAGGTCGCATAGTATCGAACAAAAGTTTGAATATGGGGTAGTCCCCATTACGGGCGGCAATTTCGAGCAAGCCGCAGGCGAATGCCACTTGGCCAACAACATGCCGCCTTTCGGATGTCAAGAGGGTAACCGCACGGTTGTAATGACTTCCCACACAGGCCGCCTTAAGAGCTCGTCGGAAAGTGGTATCGTTAACTTCGCTCAGCGGACGAAAACGTGGTCTATCGTCAAGAGACTGAGGGGCGTGATGCACTTTATTATGAGACTCTAGACTCACGCCCGTCTCGAATCCGACGGTCGCGCCAAAGCAATCCTCTTTGGCACACCGAAATGACCTTTCATGCCGGTGTCTGTGCTTGTCACGGGCGCTGGCATTTACGAACCCGTGCTCCGAGGAGAAGCCATCGCACCAGGGCCTAGGACATCTAAAGGGCCGATGTGTCCCCTGAAGATTCTCCAGCGCAGTTTGAGTTGGTACTTTGGTTCTGATTGCACCCTCGATAGCGCGATGAATACGCTCGATCCGAACCTCTAAGTTGAGAAATTCGTACCGTTTCGAGGGGTCAGCCGGCAGGAGTCTAAACAACTCCTCTAGAGATCCAGGGTCAACACTTGGCTGCGGATCCGTCAACCCATCATACGTTGTTATAAGATGCTGTCTTGATATCCCTCCGTATAGCCGAAAAAAGACGCAAGTGCCTTCTCGCAGGCAATGCGAAGGCAGCTAATGTCACTGCGCTCTCGCTTTTGAGCATTTCGTACCGCTTCCGCTGGACCTAGATCCGACACTAGGCGATCAAGGTGCTCGTACCACATCGCCACGGCATAATCGTGCAAAGCGTAATACCCAGATTCCACGTTTATTCTGAGCTCCGCGTCGGATAGGTTCGGCTTGAACGGGTCAGTGCTAAGATACCGCAAACAGTACAATGTGATGTGGGCATTTTGTAATTCTGGCTGGATCAACTTGCGGCGGGAGAGAAAGCTGTTGACAAGACACTATTAGTAAATAACTATACTGATTTCCCCTCACGAGTTTGTGCTTGGCCAGACATTGCAGACGGTGTAGATGTGCGGAAGATGGGAGGCGCGTGCAGGCCTCTATAAGAAGTCGACATACCCTCTCGCAGACTCGTGGACGAGTTGCACCAGCATCTCTGACTCGGGGGCATCTGGTGGTTGCCGTAAGTCAATCAAGGATCCACAGAGCTCTTTACATGATGCAAGAAGTCTCCGCTCTTTGTAGAAGGCTTCCTGCTTGTCGAGGTCGATGCAAAAGACCGCCTGGATCTCCCTCCAGTAAAGGAGCCTTTTGGCGCTGGCAACCCACTCGAGAATCTTTCCCACGTCGGCTTTCACATGCGGCTTAACTTCGTCGTAGATGCGGGAAACCACCCGTTGGTACGCCTTGTCAAGCCCGGTTGGAAATGTTCCATCTTGAAGTTCCTCGTGTAACTGGTCAAGACTATTGATGCTTAGAAGGTTGTCTAGGACGATCTTGGCGAAGAGGAACATGCCTAAAACGGGTCAATAAGTTAATAAATAATAAGGGTAGCGCATCTATTGGGGGTAGCTATCTTCCTGGGAATGGAGTCGTGGGTACGTGCGTTGTCTTACCTGCCGCTTCGTTCTCAACTTTGTTCACGACAGCTGTTGCCTCCGCCTGTGAGAAGGGAAACTTCTCACAGAACTCATCCCGTCGAGAGAGGCAATACCGTTTTAAATCCCTTAGATGCGGAGAAAATTCCAGGGCTATCGAAGGGTAGCCGGAAAGTTTCTCAAAAAGCTCAACGCTTCTTTGACCTGAAAACAAGACACGAACGGCGTGATCGGTTCCACCTTTCTCTAGCGAGAGACACCAGTCCAGTGCTTTTCGAGCCTCCAGATCCGTGCATTCGTCGAGGCCATCAATCAGGAGGTAGGATTTGCTGTACATTGGCAATATCTCTTTTAGGTACGCCGAGAGCCAAGCCGTCGAGCGGAGCTTGACCGCATCAAAAGCCTGGAGCTCCTCATAGGCAGTGTCGCACAGGGCAGCATCCTGGCTTAGGAGTTGGTGTAGCATACTCCGAAGAATTCCGCGGAACGTTCGCTTATTCTCTTGATTGTGCCTGCAATAAAAGTAAAGAATTGGTTTCCAACAGCCGCTGGGAGACCGAAGCGCTTTGTCGAGGATACTATTCAGGATAGTGGTCACGAGCATGGATTTCCCTGTTGTGTATAGTGGTAAGCTTCGTTGTACTTGACGTGACTAACAAAAAGTCTATGAAGAGATTTCGGGCCTTTTCCACTGGGAAAGGGAATAAAGGAGATGTCTCATCTTACCTGCTCCAGGAACGGCGTTTATATAGAGTGTTCGATGATCACTTCCCTCCGGGTCCCACCATGCCTTGAAGCTGGGGTCCTCAAACACCCAAAGACCCGATGACCCGGCACCTAGCTCTTCTGTATAAGCCTCACGTTCATACTCATATGTTGGGGGCTGAAGCTGTTGCTTAAGCCAGTCCATCCGCTTTGCGCGCTTTTGTCTCGCCTTCTCAGCCTCCCTTGCCTCACTATCCTTCCTAACGCGAGCGATGTCGTCCATCACGGTCTTTATTTTTCCCTCATCTCCATTACGGCCTCGGCCGTAGCTAAAGTCTTTATTTTTCTCCCATCTCCATTAGGGCCTTGGCCGTAGCTAGAGTCTTTAGGCTTTCAAGCAGTTCAGCGCGGCGCTTCATGCGATTTAGGATCGAGTCAAACTGGGAGTGGAAGGTCTTCCAAAACAAGTCGCGGACCTTCTGTCTCTCTTTGATAATTAAAAGAAGGAAATCCGAAAATTAGTCTCCCTGAAATGAAAATGGGTATCTGTACGAGCAGGTAACAGGGGACTCTTAGACTGGGCTAGTATCTACTCTACCTAAACGATCCCCTTCCCTCGGTAGAAGTACTTACTTGTCCGATCGAGGAATACAAGCGCCTCCTGATAAAATTCAAGGATATCATCAATCATTTTCTCTAAGACGACATGGGCGCCAAGTGTAGGTAGCTTGTCAATGAAGCTGTGGTATATCACGAGCCCGGGTATTGTCTCGCCAATTTTCGCAAGGGCGTCGAGGATGGTATCTAGCGAGTCGTGCCACACCCTTGTCATCTATCCCCACGTCGGATTAGCAAATGTCACCGAGCGTTCAAGTAAACGCCCAATGTCGAGTGTTCCATCTAAGAACCGGCACGAGAGACTCTGTAGACATACACCAAGGATGAGCTTGATAGGTCCCTAGAGATAAACGGATGGATATTTTAGTATGAGCCAGCAACAGAGGTTCATGATTCTGTTGACTATGGGCCACCCCCGCGTTTCTTGAGAATTTTGCCTGGACACCGCGGTATACTCACCCATATAAAGCAAACCAAGTTATGGGCATTCAGGAAAACCTCGACTGTCTTTGAGAGATGCTCCAGGCCCTCTAGAAACGGGGTTATGCGGTTCAAATCGTGGAGCTTCCCGTTCTTTTCATGTTCTTGTTGAATCCTTTCAATATCTTTCTGGACGTCTTCGAGGGTACAGATTTTACGGCACAGGGACTCGAGCTCAGTAGGCGTCAAGATTTTTCGAATACGGCCACGGCCGAGTGGAGGCAGGATCCGTCAGTCATCTCTGCGCCTTGGACATTGACCTCGAAGTTGTAAACGTCAACCTTGTGCAAGTGGTGATGGGGCGCTTTATCCTCTAGTTGGCAGCTGAACTCCACGATGAACTATGAAAGGTGTAGGGAATCAAAGGGTGCCTTTAAGTGTCAAGGAAAAGATGGGATGTGAGGCGAACTGTTGGGCTGAGGAAACGGCCAAACACCTGTTGGCTTCCCTTGCTAGAAGACAGCCAGCGTTTTTACATTTTGGGCCGCGGCCTTCATGCAAGAGTTTCCCAATCAACGTGCGTGCCCTATTTGGCGCCGTAAGTTCGACGTGGAAGGTCGCCGTTGGATGTAGCTCTGGCAAGGCAACCAAACGGACCTTGCTAAGCCGCTGTGAAATGGACGGGCTACAGAACGGCTGAATATCCGGGATGCGATGGACCTTGAATCTGTCGATTAAATAAATCCATTTTCGAATCACGGTGCATGCATCCTTGACGGCCTGGTCTGTAACGGGGCTTGGATGTTCGGGGATTGGGTCCTTGCATTAGATTTGAAGTCGGACACCTCGTGTCGAATTCCTGGTGGGAAATTCGAGGCTTCAGCTGCTCCTTCCATCTTCAATTTCCGCTCTTAATTTTCTTTCTCTTCAATGCTGAGAATAACAACAAGTCAAATCCTCATGGGAGCTTCCATTCCAGCCGGCTCATCAACCACCGCAACCTAAAAGCACAGTCAGTCGGGAATGGACGTTGACGACACCGTGACTGCGCCAGAAGGGACCGGCGTGCCTTCGAGTCAAGTTGAGCCGGACATATGCTTTGGAGCGGTAATTCATTAATCCCTCTTCCTGTCCCATGACTTTAAAATTCGCAAGGACTTTTTATAACAGAGAGCTTCCTTGCAGATAGATCCAGTTCATGCCCAGCTTGTCTTGGACCAGTGGCCTACGCTTGATGATATCAAAGATGATATCTCCAATGATTACGGCCACTATCATTTCAGAATATATCCCATCAAGAACGAGCTCGACTATCAGTTGCAAGGTGGCAACGGCGTTAATATCGCGGTGTTAGACGTGAAGTCGGCTTCCATTCTCGCGGACTTGCAAGAAATCAACGTGTATTTTGACGGCACTGTTTCCTGCGGCACGATGAACAAGCGGCCAAAGTTTACCAAAAAGACGCCGAACCGGCGATTCTCACTCATGGTGAATATCTGCGGGGCGCCGAGCTTGTCACGGGTTGTATCGTCCAAGCTGCGAGCGAAGTCGATATGCCTGCAGCATCCGCATTCCCTCCTCAGTGGGCAGGACTATGTAAATCCCCAGTACTTTAAGCGTCCCGGAGTGGTTATCGATATGAAACAGTTTGTCGGGGGTAGTGATTTGTGTCCACGGAGGCAGAGAAAAATCGTGGACAGCGGCATTATGGACTTTTAAACTCGGACTGTGGACATGTTGACGGGAGTGTCGATGACCTGGATGGTTTGATTATCCCATTGCATAGGTGAGAGAAAGAACTCGGCCCCTGCGAAACGCCACAGATAATCTTGGATTAATGCTGACTAGAGCCATAGGCACCAGCGGAATGCTCTTCGATTTGTTGTCCAAAGGGAAGATGTCGAGTTTTCTAACAGACTACGGGAGCAAGTCAAAGACACTATCGGGCTATCATCCACGTAAGTCGCTATATCGATCTTAAAGAGAATGGAGAAGATAGACTAACATTAAGAGCTATGGGAACCAAAAGGACATCGGGACGCGCCTTTGGAGGTATAATAGCAGATGTCATGGGTCTCGGAAAAACCCTTACCACTCTTGCATCCATCCTGCACACGCTAACCTTGGCCCGTTCTTGGGCTAGCTTAGGTCGTGTTGGCGATGGTAAAATACGGACCCGGGCAACTTTGGTGCTTGTTCCGTCCTCACGTAGGTAGATTGCCCGTTCGGTGTAGACCCGGAGCAACAGCGGACTAACAAGTGATGGTGTGCCCAGAGGTCTTGGATGTGTGGCACCTGGAGATCACCCGGTGAGTAGATGAAGCGGTTCGAGCCTTGGCTTTTTGCGAGCTAGATTGGGGTTTGGAGGTGATAGGATTGATCTGATTTATTCTTCCTTGCGCAGACGATTCCGGGCCGGTTCCTTCGCTGTTCTTCGCTTGCACGGCGCACAACGGCGTCGAGAGCTGGCACAGATTACGGACCATGACATAGTATTAACAACCTATCACACGCTGCGATCAGATACTGAAAGGGAGAAGCTTCTCAGCCAAGTGATTTGGTATAGGGTTGTACTTGACGAAGGTAGGCTCTTCCTCTATGCTTGTTTTGACTGTTCTTGTCGAGGCACGTAGCGTTTCGGGGCTAATGCTGTCTGCGATGTAGCTCACTCTATAAGGAATCTTTCCTCAAAACAGGGTCAAGCCACCCTCAAGCTGGAAGCCCGAAGCAGGTGGTGTCTCACGGGGACACCGATCCAGAACAAGATCGAGGATCTCGGCGCCTTAGCCACCTTTTGCGGCTACCGCCCTTTGACAAAAGGGGAATTTCGAAAGCGCATTCTAGGGCCTCTCTACTTGGCCAGCAGCCAGGCCCCCGAAGAGTTGCGCACCTACCTCCGAGCCTTTTGCCTTCGCAGGCATCATGACATCCTGGACCTTCCGCTGCCCGAGGAGGTGGAGGTGAGTCTGGCGCTTTCGGAAGCTGAGCGGAGGCTCCAGATACAGATCAAAACCGAGTTGAATAGCGCGCTAGACTTGGCGGTGAGCAAGAAGGCATCGGCGAAGAAGTATAGTCTTCTGTTCACTGCCATCCTCAGAATGCGTAGACTTTGTGATCTTGGTACCCATCTGTCTATGCGTGGGGTGGTCCAATCCGAGTGCGAAGACTGCACCACTGATAATATAGACTTGTTGGACAACCGTACTTTTGTCCTACGTGTGGTAGGAACCTCAGGAAGCCAATGGATGATCCAACACCAGCCCAACTGTCGCCCACCAGCGGGATATCCTCGACCTCAGAAATGACGCCGGAGGTTGACGGTCTTGGCGGAATCCCGGGTTGGGCGGGAGGAGAGGATGTGCAGATGGATGACGTCTATCTTCAATCGTCGACTAAGATAACCGCAGTGGTTGAACGTATCGCAGGTGCGCAGGCGGACAGCAAACAGTTGAGTCACTAGACATCGGGGACGACGTTATCGTATAAATGAACGACGAAGCGGCTAACATCTAAAACGCGACGCAGTATTGTATTCTCGGCGTGGACGGCTAGCCTTGATCTCTGCGCAACACATCTCCAGGCTCGGGGATCGGTTGCGAGAAGTATGATGGCCGGGTCAAATTCTCGGACCGGCAGCGGCGGCTAGACATGTTCTACGCGGACCCGCTAGTGCGAGTGCTCTTGCTCACTATTCAGAGCGGAGCGGTTGGGTAAGTCTTGTCATCAAATCCGCTTAGAGAACAGAGTTGGTTAGGGCCTCGATAGCTCACACGTCTGTTCTTTACCGGGCTGGTTTGCAGTCTTAATATCACTGCGGCCAACTACGTCCATATGATGGAGCCTCAGTGGAACCCGGCCGTAGAAGACCAGGCGATTGCGAGGGTTATACGAATGGGCCAAAAGCGAAAGGTCACGATTGTCCGATATGTTGTCAAGGGGACTGTGGAAGAGGTAAGTCGCAATTGGCGCTGCTGTTTTCTTGCCTCGTCTTGATAGCCCCCTGAAGCCCATTGTTTTTACTTGATCGTCACTCTAACTGAGAGCAGAATCTGGTCGCGGTGCAGGGACAGAAAAAGAAGCTTGCCAGGTCAACGATGACTTTTGGTGAGGCTGGAGGCGGCGCAGAGGACGACTTGAACGGCAAGCTGGAGGTAAGTCATCCCCGGATATCTATACGTGCTATAATTGAAGGAGGCTAATACTGCGGGATGGGGTAGGAGTTGAAGTTTATTCTTGGCAAGGAATCCTGAGGATGATATGGTGCTGTCCATGGCTTGGATTAAGCCTCTTGTATCGTTCGTCGTCTGACTCTAGGCGAAGTGGTCGGTTCCTCTTTTTCTTAGTATTTTGTTATATTATACAAAACCCAGAACCTACAAGTAGCCTCGCTCTCGTCACTCATGAATGAGAGCCCAAAAGCAATTGCGCAAATGCATGATGTGTGAGCGGCGGAACTAAATTAGCTTGAGAGGCTTGAATTTAAGCCAAGCTTGATTGCAAGGCCGGCAAGGATTCAATGTGATGTTGGTCCAAACACAGTGGCAAAGGAGCAACCAAACGAGCAAGTGGGGACCAACGGACGCTGGGCGAAATTTTGCGCCAGGCAACCTTTGATCCTTCGTGCCTTTTTTCGGGTTTTTCCCCCTTCTCCTTTTTCTTGATCGGTCTCTTCTCCCTCTCCCCTCGATGTAGCGGCGGAAATCCTCCCTCCTTGCGTTTCCCTTCTGCTGTCTGGCACATCATCATGTTGTCCCTTCTCCTTGCCATTCTCCTGGCGCCAGTCCGGCTGCCTTTGCGGATTGCCCGCTACTGGCTCCGGCTTCTGTGGCGCCCGGTCCGCTACCCCTGGATCCTCGTCCCCTGGCGCGTCCTGCTCGTGGCCATCACGCTCATCAGTCTGCCCGCCGCGCTCACGGGTATGGTCGAGGGATTCTTTTACGGCGCGTGGGCGACCAAGTTGTTCCACACGTCCCTCCAGACCTTTGTGGACAACGTAGAAAGCGCGCGGGGAATGGACTGGTATTCTGTCCCCGGCGCGCCGGGCATTCACGATATGCCGGTCCCGCCCCACCACATTGTGGAACTCCGGGACCCGACTAACTGGTGGGAGAGGGTCGGGCTCAAGCGCTTCGACCTCCCCGAGGACCCGGAGGAGCTCGGCCTGATGCCGATAGACCAGTTTGCCAACCTGGACGTGTTGTATCGGCGGGTGCGGTGGAGCGCCAAGCCCAAGCAGCCGTGGCACCACTTCATCTACGTCGTCGCGGGCATCCCTGGCTTCTTGTTCAACGACTGGGACATTGCCTTTGACCAACTGCTACAGTATCACTACAAGAATCCCGCGGTCGGCAACGCGACGTTTCAGCACATTAGCTCTTGGAACTTCCTCTGCCAGATTTGGAAAGTCCGCGGTCCGGCCCTGGTCCACTTGACCACCGAGGTCCCGGTCGACGCGGACGGCAACCCGGATCTCGACGTCGCGGAGAGAATGGAGGTCAAGGGCTACGACCCCGTGTACGCCAGGATCCTCGAGTTCCCCGGCAGGAGGAGTACAACAACCACCCGCACCTCCCCGCGGCGTCTTCCTCCTACTTCGAGCAGCTCCGCAGCGAGACCGAGAACCCGGGCCCGTGGCGCGAAGAGGCCGTGTACAACGTCTTTCAACAGGCCATGCGGCGCGCCTACCAAATCTCCGACGACAAGAAGCGCCAGTACCCCCGCACGTTTGGCAAGGCCAGCGCCGTCGACGATTGGATCTTTGACCGCATCTCCGCGCTGGACCCGGCGGGCGAGGAGTCGCTCGTCAACTACTACCTCGGTTTCGTGCGGTTAATGAGCTTTCTGTCGGTGCATACCGCGTATTCCATGCTTATGCAGACTGGCGAGCTCATCGTGCAGGTTGGCGGGCTCGCGCGGGACGCGTTCCTAGGCTTCTTTGGCGTGCAGCAGCGTCAGGCGGGGAGCGCTACGACGACGAGGAGGAGGCGCCGTACGTGGGGCGCAACTTTATGGAGCAGATGGTTGTGGACTTTTGGGGGTTCGTCGCGGACAAGATCGCCGCGAATGCGACGGCGGCGGCGGCAGCGGCGGCGGCCGAGGCGACGATGAGGGAGGCGCAGGGTAGGCAGGCGACGGCGGCGGCGATATGATGGGCGTGTCTTGTATGAATCGTGAGGGTCCTTATCGGCTGTAACAGAATACCAAACTTGTCTTCTCATTCTGTCTTCTTAATATACATATTGCATTGCACGCACCTCTCTCTCTCTCTCTTTCTCTCTCCCTATAGTTTTAACCGCGCGCTCCCTGTACTAACCGATGGCCACGTTTTCCTGGGCTGTTTGCGGATTCGCAGCCCCAATAAACAGCGAAAATCAAGCGTTTCCCGGGTTGGTGCCCGCCCTCTCACGGGCCGCGGCACCGAGCGGCTCAGGGCTATAGTGTCTAGAATTGAGGCTCGAAACGAGGCGCTGCTTGGCTGGGATATCCGGCAAACCTCGTCTTTCCCGTCTAGTATCTCCATTGTATCCATCGCTCCTGCCTAGTCATTTATTTTCCACCACGCGGGGGCGGCTCAATTCTTTAGGCCCGGGGAAGGAGGGGGTCCTTATCAATCCCTGACATCGCCGGATTGACGCACCAGCCCTCGATCGGGTGTCAGCCAAGCCGTACGCCCAGCCCGCGCCAAGGCAAATCCAGGCCTTGGTTCCCGTTACAGATTGCAGAACCTGGAAGGAGCTAGGGAAAGGAGGCGAAGACAGCATGAAATGCGTGCCCGAAAAGGGAAATCGCCAACCATTGAGTACGCGTCCAAAATAGCTTTTCCATGGCCTTATCCGTATGTTCTTTCCCTTCGTATCCTTTCTTTTTCTCCCGTTCGAACCCATCCTCGTGCACCCCCTCAATTTCTTCAACATCGTGCATTGCGGGGAAGAGAAATAAAAAAGAAACCATCGCCAATTGACAGATTGACTTGCCACTTTACGATGCAGGCGAATTCAAATCGCAACCGCATCCTTGCGGCTCTTTTCGCCCTGGCGACCCCGCGCTCGCGCAGAGCTGTGACGTCGCCGAAATCAAACCCGACTATGACGCACCTGTGGCGCATGGTGGCTGGGAATATCGAATTATCGCCAACGACCTACGCAGACCAAGAGGCATCGTCGTGGACAGCCAGGGAGCCTTGTTGGTGGTGGACTCTGGCGTCGGCATCAAGAGGCTCGTTTTAGACGATAAGGGTGGCACTTGCTTCAGTGTCAAGGAGCAGGAAACCCTCGTCGGAGCTTCAGACGTATGGCTGCCCCTCGCATCTGCACCAACCCCTTATTGATGGCTACACGCATGAAACAAAAACCGATGATATCTGTGCTAACCCGCGCCTTAACAAAAGTTAAATCATGGCATTGCCCTAGATAACGAAAAGGGAATACTCTACGCATCCACCTCGGACAAGGTTTACTCTTGGTCCTACAATGCCGAGAGCGGTACCGTGGATGGGAACCGCCAAACTATTGTAGAAGGCATGGACAACTCTGGCCATACCACCCGCACACTTCTCCTCTCGAGCAGGAGTCCCGGCACTCTTCTAGTCTCCCGCGGGAGCGATGGCAACATTGACGAGGAGGCCAAGAACATTGAATCCGGCCACTGCCAGATCAAGGCTTTCAACGTTAGCGAGGTCGCTGATGCTTACGATTTCACGACGGACGGAAGCATCCTTGGATGGGGACTGAGGAACTCGGTCGGCATCGCCGAAGACCCCGCCTCGGGCGGTATCTGGAGTGTAGAGAACTCTGTTGACCAGCTGCGGAGAGATGGTGAGGACATCCACACGGACAACCCGGGCGAGGAGATGAACTTTCATGGCTCGCTCAACGGATCCGACGAGGAGACGGGAGGCAATTATGGCTACCCCAGCTGCTTCGCCCTCTGGTCTACCGAAGATTTCCCCAACCGCGGGGATCTCACGACGGGGAATCAGTTTGCGCCGTCGGAAAATGACGGCGTGGACGATGAGCAGTGCAACGCTGATTTTGTTGCGCCGAGAATCACGTTCCAGGCGCATACGGCGCCGTTGGATATTGTTTTCGCCAGTGATGGGTCCGAAGCCATTGTCTCGTTCCATGGTAGCTGTGAGTTTTGGCCATGAAACCTTTTTCCCTTTTCCAGTTCCCTTGCTTCTTGAACAACACTAACATTTCTGGCCATGACAAGGGAACCGCAACGAACCTGTGGGATACGCCGTGTCTACAATTTCCTTTGAAAACGGCCAGCCCGTCGCCAAGTCGGATAGCATGGACGCCGCGCAAGAAATCCTCTCCAACCCCAACCTGGGCAACTGTCCCGGCAGCTGTTTCCGCCCCGTTGGTCTCGCCTGGGGCAGCGACGATAGGCTGTTCATGACGTCTGACGCGACGGGCGAGGTGTTTGTCTTGCAAAAACCGGAGCTAGCGGCGGCTCTGGGTCCGGCTCAGAGAGCGGCGATGACGAGAACGGCGCTGGCCGGTTCGAGAAACGATCTTGGTTTGCGCTGATCCCTGTGGGCATCCTGGGGTTGTTCCTGTTGTAAAGATTAAGCTGGCGCTTGTGAGATTGTGCTATTATGGGGGCTGATGTTACGAGTACATGTTTTTACGTTTTTAAGTGGTGCCTTTTACGTGGGGTTCACGCCGAAACCCGTTGATTGATTATCTAGTAAATACTATTATTTTAGTGCAACACGCATGATTATTCCCTTTTATAATGGGCGAACGAGTAAGGAACAGCCCTCGAGGCACTGATGATGCAGTTCCGTGCCTCGCGTACCTCGTGCACGATACATGTGGGCAAAAACAACTCAAGAGCGAATTGCCACGTTTGCGAAGGGGGTTTGTGAAAACGCGGTTCTAGATCTATCGAACCAATGAATCTCTGAGATGAATCAATTCTTCATTGTTGTCGTTGTGGATATCGAGTCCATCATTGATCACTGACGACTAGGCCAGGCACCTAAATTTCCATTCCTCTGAATTGGGACTCCAGGTTTGTGGGCCCAAGTACCTTGTACATCCCGTCGATCCATTCACGATTTGCTGGCAGGTGCCATCCCATCCACATCAATCGAATAAACGAAACGTCGCTCATCTTCCAACACCCCCTTTCGCCCTCTTCGCATTGCACTCCCCTCCCACTCGGCGTCACGAATCACCTCCTACCGACCCGAGTGCGAGGCTTCAATACAATTTCTCAGCATCATACCATACCGCAACGACATCTCTTAATTACATCATCGAGTCCATGACCTCCCCACCCACCGGCAGCCCAGCTCTCGAAACCCTCTAACCCGCCCCTCTCGACACACACGAAACCATCCTCGGCCCCCGTAAATGACGGAACCACCCTCCTCGACGGCCGCTACGGCGGTGGCCGCGACAGCCATGTCGACGACCAACAACCCCGAGCTCGACCTGGCGAAGCTGCAGTCCCTCCCCGCCGAACAGCAGGAGCTCTTTCTGCTCAACTTTGTGACGGAGCTCAGCAAGCACGTCCACTCGCTCTCGGGCGACGACTGCACGGCCCAGCAGTTTTACCTCAAGAAGGAAATCTTCCAGATCCTCAACCTGGCCGCGCCGCAGCCCTCGCGCGTGATACGCAACAACCTGGGCCGGTGCCTAGCCCACGTGTTTGCCAAGGGGGACCGCAAGCTGCTCTTCGAGACCATCAACGAGCTCGTGGCCCTCGTGGCCGGCGGCAAGCCCAAGTCGGACGCGGACCTGCGCGCCAAGCACGCCGCCGTGAGCTGTCTGGGGACGTGTTCGCCGCGGCCGGCGACAGCGCCATTGGCCTGCACCAGCTGGCCTGCACCACGCTCGTCAAGCTGCTCAAGGCGTCCCAGGCTAACGCGGGGCTCCGCGCCGCCGTGCTCGTGGCGCTGGCCAAGATTGCCGGCATGGTGGGCGCCAGCCTGGACGAGAGCATCGCGCGCGACGTGTGGAAGCAGGCGAGGAACCACGCGGCCGGCGACAAGGGCTGGCTCGTCGTCGTGGCCGCGTGCCGCTGCCTCAAGAGCCTGGTGCGCAGCGCGCCCTACTTTCTCAACGCGTCCGATTTCGACAAGCTCGAGACCGTCGTGTTCAAGGCCATCGATTCGCCCTCGTCTCAGGTCCGGCACGCCGCCGCCGACTGCTTCGCCGAGGCCCTCGTGCAGAGCTTCTCCGACTCCCCGAGCGCCGCCGAGGCCCACGCCCAAAAGTCCAAGAAGAAGTCCAAGGCCATCAAGCGCACCCCGACCGGCCTCGTCGACGAAGACGAGATCCCCTCACGGCCTCAGAGCCCCGCCCCCTCGGGCAAGTCGCGCGTCCTGACGCAGAGCTTTTCCGAAATCCTCGAGATCCTGTCCAACCGATACGTGCGCTCCTCGACCACGAACCGCGCTCGTGCCGGTATCGGCGTGTGCTACGGAAAACTCCTGCGGAAGCTTGGGGAAAAGGCCGTCGAGAACAACTACCTCGCTCTGGTAGAGAACCTCGCCATTGAAATCTTGGGTCATACCACGGTGGCCAATAACCGCTATCGCCTGCTCCTCTCCAGGCGCATCGTCACCATCATCCTCCAGGACATTGTAAGCAACAAGGTGCTGGGCGAGGCCGGCCAGATCCAAGCCGCCACCGCCCTCATCAACAACGTGCTCAAGAATTACCCCCAAGCGCTCCCGGAGCGACAGGAACCGGCCAAGAACACCCTCATCACCGCGCTCAGCGCCCTCTCTTCCCTCATCGCCGCCCTGGGTTCTGCTGCCAATGGCTTTGCGGACAATTGCCGTGACGGCCTCCTTCAGGTCCTTCAGCACCCCAGCTACGCCGTGCAGGTCTACGCCTCGTCCTGCATGAAGACTTTTGTTCTTGCTTGTCCCCAGCAGCTCCTCCAGTGCCTCACCATTTGCATGAACACCCTGAGCCGCGAGCTATCCCACCTCGGCACCGGGCGCAGCTCCCCGCCGGTGTGTGGGTTTCGCCCACGGTCTGGCGGCCACCCTGAGCGCGAGCCCCTCGCGTCCACTCTACGGCTCCGTCGACGTCAACAGTCGCGTGCTGACCATGGCCACAAACCTGCTCAAGTCCAGCGGCCAGTCGGAGCTGCGCGTGTCCAGCACCCAGATCCAGGTCGCCTGGATCCTCATCGGGGTCTCATGGCCCTCGGCCCCAACTTTGTCAAGATTCACCTGTCTCAGCTCCTCCTGCTCTGGAAGAACGCCCTCCCCAAGCCCCTCACCAAGGATAACACGTCGTCCCGCAGCCTCCTCGAGGCCTCCTTTCTGGCTCACGTGCGCGAGTCCGCCCTCGGGTCCATTCTCGCTTTTCTCCGGTTCAACCAGCGCCTGCTCACCGTCGACGTGTGCAAGCGCATCGCCACCATGCTGCAAAACACGACGGCGTTCCTGAGGACTTTGCCCTCCAAAAAGACCACCGACGATATCTCGCAGCGCCTCATCCCCGCCCTCCAGCTGCAGGACATTTACATGATGGTGCAGCGCCGCGTCCTCCAGTGCTACGTCAAGCTCGTGACCACCAGTCCCGCCGGTGGTAGCGAAGCGCTGCTGCAGTCTAACCTTCTCACCTTGGCCATCTCGCTGTTTGCGGACCCGGAGAACTATGGCGCGGGCAACTCGCTGAGCTCATCCATCGCCTCGGTCGCAGGTACTTTTGAGACCATTTGGGATATCGGCGACAATAGCGGCTTCGGCGTCGCGGGGCTCGTGCGGGGGTTCAATGTCCGGAGCCTTCCCGGCCAGCACGAGAATGTATCCGACGTCCCGTCTCTGGACGACGGGAGCCCCGAAGAGGCGATTGACAAGATTCTGCTGTCCCCCATCTGCGGGACGCTGGAGCATGACGCCTCACTCCTGTACATTGGTGGCTTGGAGGGTGCGTCGGAGACCTCGCCCGACCCGCCCACGACCGAAGTCGTCAATCTCGCCATCCAGCTCTTCGCCTTTGTCTTCCCCTCACGCCTGCCAAGGTCCAAGAAAGCATTCTAGAGCAAATTAAGACTTTCTCCTCTGCCGGTCCTTTGCAGCGCGATCCCGGTAGAAGGGCTGCCGTCAACGTCAACGTCTCGGCCGCGATCTTGTCCACGCTTCGGGTCGCCGTCAAGGAGACCAATGCGCCGCCGGGCGACATTACCAACGCCGCGGTGGAAAGGCTGATTCAGGACATGATTCGCGACATCGTCATCGACGCTGACCCCTACATTCGCAGCATGGGCTACGCTGCCATGGCGCGCCTGTGCAATGCCTGCGGGAACGCATTCACGAACCACGAGATCAAGTATCTTGTGGACACTATTGTAATTAACCGCGAGCCTAGCGCTCGTGCGGGTTGTGCTATGGCCCTGGGCGCGATCCAGAGCAAGGTCGGCAGCATGGCCTCGGGGTACCAGCTCAAGACGATTCTCGGCATCCTCATGTCGCTGTGTAACGACCCCCACCCGACCGTGCATTATTGGGCCCTCGAGGCCTTGACGTTGGCGTCTGACGCGGCGGGTCTCAGCTTCTCGCCGTACGTGTCCAGCACGCTAGGCATGCTCGCGCAGCTGTACTCCAATGACACACACAATCCCGAGATCGCGTCCGCCGTGTCGATGAACCTCGAGATGGAGGTGTCTACGACGGCGGTCATCGCCCGGTGCGTTGACTCCTTGATCAACGTGCTCGGCCCGGACCTGCAGGACTCGACAAAGTCCCGGGAGCTCATTCTTGGACTCGTTGGGCAGTTCCAGAGCGAGGAGGAGCTTCTCGTGCAGAGGGCGAGCCTCGGGTGCTTGGAACACTTGTCATTGTACGCGCCCGGCTACGTTATTTTCGCAGACTACGTGCGCACGTTGCAAAAGTATCTCAACTGCGAGGATGCCCTCCTCCGTGACGTGGCCGTGGATGGCCTGTACAGCATCATGAAGCGGGATCCGCGCGATGTAATCTTGGCTGCTGAGCCCGGGTTTGTCGAGCAGCTCTGGCTGGTGCTGGACACGGAGCCCTCGCACGACGGGATCCGCAACATTATCCGCAACTGGATGCGTCAAACTTGCCTCACGGAGACGGAGCCTTGGTTGCAGCGGTTCCAGGCCGTCCTCAAGATGACGCGCACCAAGGCCAAGGAGGAGCAGAGCTCCCGTGGCAAGAACAAAACGGCGATGCCCGACCTCCGCGACGAGGAGGTGGCTGGCTTCGCGGCCGCAGGGGCGCGCCGGGCGACGACAAGGGGGTAACGAGAGTGCCGACGTGGAGCCGCTGCGCTGGCAGGTGACGACGTTTGCGGTGAGCATGATGAACGACATGTTCATCATCGTGTCCAGGACGTGGCGACCAACGGCGAGTCGGCGGGCCAGACGGCGCTGCAGGGCAAGCTGGCGGATGTGGTGCGCATGGCGTTTTCGGCTTCGACGTCTGGGGTGCTGGAACTCCGCATCTGGGGCCTCAAGATCATTGGAGGCGTGCTCAAGATGTTTGGCAAGACGCCGGACCCCGACTTTGACGAGGCCATGCTCCTCGAGCAGTACCAGGCGCAAATCAGCTCGGCGCTCACGCCGGCGTTTGCGGCCGACTCGTCGCCCGAGCTCGCGGCGGAGGCGGTCAACGTGTGCGCGAGCTTCATCTCGACGGGCATCGTGACGGACATTGACCGCATGGGCCGCATCCTCAAGACGCTCGTGACGGGGCTGGAGAACTTTGCGCGGGAGTCGGACGGCAACGCCAGCATCGGCGACCTCAAGGGCCTCTCGTCCAACGCGCAGGTCATGGTCAAGATGGCCGTCTTTGCCGCGTGGGCGGAGCTGCAGGTGGCGAGCTCGGAGCAAAAGTACCTGATCGATGTGCTGCGGCCGCACATTGCGACGCTCACGCCGCTCTGGCTCGAGTCGCTGCGCGAGTTCTCGCGGCTGCGGTTCGAGCCCGACATTTCCATGACCCTGGGCCCCCCTCGCTGTCGGGCAGCCTGGACACCATTTACGCGGCCCTCAACCGCGAGACGCTCCTCAAGTTCTACCAGGACTCGTGGCTCAAGCTCGTGGACGCCATCGCCAGCCTCATCGAGCAGGACAGCGAGTTTGTGTTTGACGCGCTCGACGGGAAGGGGGCGGGGGCGCCGGCGACCAACGGCGCGCCGTCGCGCGAGGCCGACATCAACTACCGGGACGAGCCGGTGGCCTTCTTCTTCGTGCTCTTCGGCATCGCGTTCGAGGCGCTCGCGACGAAGCCGTCGCACAGCGATTCGCTGGAGCTGCAGGAACAAACGCTCTCGATCCTCAAGGCGCTCAAAAAGATTCTGCAGCCGAGCGTGTCGGGTCACGCCATCTACCGCGACGCCGTCTTCTCGGAGACGATGGACCTGCTGGACCGGCTGGTGCTCACGGACGGGCTCGACGTGCAGGGCCACATTGTGGAGATTGCGCGGGAGCTGTGCGTCTCGCACCCGTCGGCGCGCAAAAGGGCCAGGCCGAGGACGAGGGCGAGGGCGCGGACCTGTCCGAGGACATTGAGCAGCTGTTTGAGCTCACGCGCATCATCGTCCTCGTCGTCGCGGGCCTGCTGCCCAACCTCGCCGAGGGCAACCAGCCCGTGCGCCACCAGATGACGGAGGAGGCTATCCTCCTCATCGGCACCGCGCTCGATGCCCTCGTCGACGCCGCCGACGTTTTTCCCTCCATCATCAAGACGGACCTGCACGCTTGCATCATACACATCTTTGCTACCGTGCTCGCGAACCCGGCCCGCTCCTGCCAGGAGCTCGTCGTGCCCCAGGCCCTGCCTACCCTCAAGCGTTTCGTCGGCAGCATGACCAGGTCCCGCCAGCGGACCGCCAACGCTAACGCCAACGAGGCGGGCGGCGGCGACGTCTCGCAGACCGACATCCAGCTCCAGGGCTGCCTTCGCAAGTTTTTAACCATTTACCTCATGGCGCAGAGGCGCGAGGAGCAGACCTCCCTCACGTGCGTCAAGAATTGCCTGCTCGCGAGCACCATCCTCTTCACGGGCGGGCAGCAGGGCGGCAACAGGTTGCCGGCCACGGATGCCGTGGTGGCGCGCTATTTGGAGGAGCTTCTCGACTGCCTGACGGATCGAATGGTGAGTTGCATTTATCACTTTTCTTTCCTTAAATTTTGTATCAAAATCCACTTGCATTATTCTTATCTACTAACACGACGACCTATGACCACAGACCGCCAAAATGGCAGCAAACTGCATCCGCTCTCTCCTCCTCCACCCGTCGCCCTCGCCGGCCGACCACTCCATCGCCCGCTACCTCTTCCCGCGCCTCATCACCTTTGTCACCAACACGGAACCCCAAGATCCAGAGGGCGCGCGGGCGCTCGTCGCCCGCACCCTCGCGCAGTACGTCGCCGCCTCCCGCGCCCGCCTCCCCGCCGGCATGGCCGTCATGGTGCCCGCCCTCCTCTCTCGCGCGGCGGGCGAAGGCGGCGAGGAAGCCTACCCCGATACCAAGGCGACGCTGCTCGAGCTCGCGGCGGCGGACCAGACCTGCTTCAAGGCCGTCGTGGGCGGGCTGAGCGAGGGCAAAAGTCCCTGCTCGAATCTGTCATCCGCGGGGGCCACAAGGCCGGGGGTGGCGGTGCGGACCGGGCCGACAGGGACCAGGGACAGCCGACCATTGCACTCAAGATGGACTTTGGGGCGTGAGAGGAGCCGAACCAGGCGAAGTAGAAGGGAGGAGGAGGGGGGCGCCGTGAATTGTTACGGGAAGGGTGTAACCATTTCGCAGAGATGGAGAGGCCGGATAGGTGTGATTGGAGCGAGGCCTGTTTGCTGAACGGAAGGTGGGGCGGGGGTGGTGGGTTGAAGCGCTTCACCAGGAGAGAAGAGAAAGAACGGATAACGTGCTTTGTGCGTGATCTCTAGGAGGGCAAAAAGGCCATAGAGGGGGTTGGTTCACTCGAGAACCGCTAGCCGACGGTGTGCCGGGATGTATTTGGATATATCCGTTGCCAGCATACAGTAGAGGGTTGCAGCCTGTGAGACCCGAGGTGTGATGGGCCAGGAGGAGTGTCTGTGAATGGGTGTCGAGAAAGCGAGGCGCATAATAGAATAGTATATAGAATAGGCAGAGATTGGAAAAGAGAAAAAAGGAAAAATTCAATAACACTATACACCATGCATCAACGTCGTCATCATGCTCATCATCGTCTCGCTCCCCCATCCGTCCAGGTATATCACATTGCGCATGAAGAGGCGGGTGCATCGGGAGATGCCCCTCCATCACTTGCCAGCCATCACACGCCTCGCATGCCAAACATTCACTAGTCTCCAGTATCTATCCGGCATCAAGGTGGGGGAGGATTTCGCGAGAACCAGCTCAAGCCCGCAAGCTCTGTTCCCACCACACAAAGCCAGCGGCAAGGACGTCCTACAGTGAACGAGCTCAGTCACTCCCCCACCCATGGACGTGAAAAGGAGGTCCCTCCCCCGGCGCGGACTCTTGTGGCGCTCTCCCCAATCCCGATACCTATGTCGCCGTCGCCGGCGTTGCGTGCGTCTCCCCTCCCCCTTTACCCCCGGCATTAGCTTTGGTCATTGTCGCCTCGGCCAAAGACCGGGCTTCGAGCGCGGGGCGAGAAAAAGCGGCGGAGAATTCCCACTTCCCTCGAAATATGCGCGGGAAGATGGGTGAACGGAAATCACTGCAACAGGTCCGGCATTGCCTCCTCTTCCTATCACATTCGGGCCGAGGTAAAAGAAACAAAGGACTAAGGGGAGCCTCCCCAAGGGGAAAAGAAAAGAGGAAGGAAGTAGCAAAGAAATACAAGGCGTAAGCCTAGAGAGGTGCGAAATGGAAAATCAATTTCACATCCTTCTCTTCTCCCATCGATGCACCATTTCATGTTGCGAAACCACACCAAGCTCGGTGCGCCAGCATGCCAGCGTGCATACAATCATCATATATTGATGTTGAAAGTCGTAGACCGCGTCCTCGCGGCATGGAAGAAGCCCTCGCCTCTCTCTCACAACAACACAAGGTACTCGTACGTCGAGCAAACCCGCGACGTGCGGAAAAGTTTCGCGGAGGGGCGTACGGCGAGAGGAAGGGAACCTCTAGGGGCCTAGAGAGATACAGGCCAGGAGAAGCGGGCAAGGGAGCTCTGCGTGGTCCCTTCCGGCGGGTGTGGATGGACGCCTCATTGCACCCCAACTTGCAGGTCCCCGCAAGGTTCTGCAGCCCAACCGAAACAATGGATGACAGCGTCAATCTCGAAAATCACACTGGTAATTACCAAATGATGACCCCCGCCCAAAGGTAGTCTGTCCTGCTTCCCTTTTGCGCTCGCGTTCACCTCGAGAACGTGCGCGAACAACGCCCCACGCAGTCACCCGCGGGCGCAAGACGGGGCTGGCAGGACAGGCGACAGGGAAAGCCAAAGGGGTGGTGTGACAATGGGGGTGCCGGACTTACTACATATCCATCGTTGGGCCTTGACCGGCTAAAATCCTCGACACTGACCCAACAGCAGCCGCTGTCGTGCCCCCTGTCAGAGGCTTTCAACCACCAGGAACCCGGAAACCCGCCCAAAACGGTCCAACAATCCACTAACCCATCAGGCCTTCCAAGGCTTTTCATCCGGCGAATGCAGACCGGGGCGCACGGAGGTGGCGCCGCCACGTCCTCGGCCACACCTTGCTACTCTATTCACGGCTAGCTCCAATCGCACAAAGTGCCCCCAAGGCAACGACGCCACCCCGTGCGAGTGTGACGGGAAACAACCCCCTCAATGATATGTCCCCTTTTGGTCAGCCCTGAAGCGACGATGGGGCGACACATTCTCCAAAGGAACAATTAACCACAAGCCCAAAGGACTCGGGTCTTTTTTCGTCGTTCTCTTTTCCTTCCTAACCTGCAGAATGCACAAGACCAAAGAGCGAGGCGGGTCGAGGGTGCTTCCGGGGCCCGGGTTGAGCATTCCGGCGCAGTGGGTGTCTAGCGTCAAGTTCGTATAAGTCGTGCAATGGGAGTAGGAAACAACGAATGCTACTGTACCCTGGAGCATACCGGGCATACCGGCCGTATGTCAGCCCTCCAGCCTTCTCTCCACGTACCGGATTATGGGATATCGTAACCTTGCAAAAGGATGTCGAGTCTATGCCAAAGATCTGAGAGGCATTTAGACGGAAGGCCCCCTACTTTCTTAGACCTAGGCGCCACCACTCCCTGCGAAACTATGCCATCAAATCCAATCACCCCGCAGAACAACCGCCGCCCTCTCCGAAGCTGCGAGGATCCTAAAGAAACATCTCCATGCACGCACATCCAGCCTTGGTTCGAAGTTGCAGTGTGGGCAAGACTGAATGCCAACAGGACGCCCGCCGCTCGCTGCAGATAGATGGTGACCTGCCATCAAATTGTTTTGGGATCTCGCTGCATCCTTATTATTCAGCCGATATCTTCTCCACGTACCTGATTCGTTCATTCTTTGCTGCAATGGCAGACTTCTTACTCGACAAGCTTGTCCAGTCTACTCGGCCCGTCTCATTTTCTGGCCTTCTTGTCCTCTTTCCTTTTGTCCTCCTTCTTCCTGCTCTCCTTCTCCATTGACCCTTTCCGATTACTTGACCCGTTGACGATCACCGGCATATGAGGTGATGCTGCCTTGGACGAAGAAGACATAGTAGTGGCTGTAGTGTCCTTGGCCTTCCTCCGACTATCATGCTTTTGCGCACCTTCCGCCTTGGACTTCCCCTTGTCTTTATCTTTGTCTTTCTCCTTGTCCTTGTCTTTGTCCCTGTCCTTGTCCTTATTCTTGGACTTGGCCTTCGCGTGACTCACAGTGCTATAAGTCCCGGACGACGAGATACCAGGCCCTGGGACTGTAGGCTCACCGGTTAGACAAATGCAATTCGACAGGGGTTTCCATATGGCTGAAAATGGGGAACTTGGCCCTACAAGAGCCGTTGATGGAATCTCACCTTTGACCTTCTTGCTAGACGACTTGGAATTTTTGGCCTTTGCACTCACTGTTCCGGAACCCGGGTCCCCGTAGCCCCATGTGCCATCTTCCAACCTTCCAGTGTGAGTTGACGTATCGTATAGGTTATCTCTGCTCATCAGGCCTTGCCCGCAGTTCCCGCAGACCACCGTGCCAAGGTGTGTGACGGCCCCATAGCCCCCGCATGAGCCACAGCAAACGTAACCAAACGCAGATGGGTCGGCTTCGTACCCTTCTTCCCCATAGTACGAACCTGGGACTGCCATGTTAAGGCTATCCGTGACCAGCTCCTCTGCCGTCCCGAGGAACCCGCTCTCGCTATGTGGGAGAAACGTAGGCCCCCTCTCGTTCATCAAACGTGCATCTTGATCCTGAGTCCGTACTAAAATTAGGAGCTTTTCAACCCAAAATTTTCAACCCGGAACCTGCCTCCATAGAAAACATATCACTTGCCTCGAGATATAAGCCAGCATAATTATAACCAGTGTTGGATCCATGTGACAAAAACGCATTTCCGGGCGGCTGCGATGACGAGGTCGAGGCTTCCGAGGAAACTCGACCTGTTGGGAGGAACGGCTCGCCCACACTCATCGACTGCAATAAAGAGGTCAGGGATGACCTCTTTCCCGAGTCGGCCTGGGTTCGGATTGAGATACGCTCCTTCTCGTTCCTACAGTCGGCGACCAGGTACCTCCCCATGAATAAACCGCCGTTCAGAAGCGCTACTTATCTGTATGAGCATGGAATCCCAGACATGCCGAGCCCATTGACCAAAGGGATACCGTAGCGGCGATCTAGACGAGAGAAGTATATCGGAAATCAACTCACCGAATGCTCTGCGGTACTGTTCGTAGCCTATGACCTTCACCCATGCGTGCGTGCTCGCACTGAAAACCTCGACATGGTCAACCTCGCACACTGTCCGAACATAGTCCTTGAGATCCTTCCACTGAGCGCTGAAAGGAAGCTATAAAAATCCGAGGTTTTCTCGTCAGCGGGTCGAATTTCCATGGGGTTCTAGCTCTGTGACGGAAGAAGGGCATCCTAAAAAAGGTCGCGAAACTTCGCGGCAGGAGTACCTACATTCGATACCGTGATATAATAGACTCCCGTCTTATTCCCCGCCTCCACTTCCAACATTGTGGAATGGTCTGATGTCATGTTGGGGCCTATGTGACAGCTCACAGTTGCAAATTCTCCTCAGCGGCGAGGCAGGAGAGATCACACCGGCGATTATGGATAGCTCTTCTTGGAGATGAGCCGATATCTGAGATCTATCACATTTGTGGGGGTGACTTGGTCCGGAAAGAAGTAGGCCTAACTACACTGTTAATACCTTCGGGGCTTCTAGAGATATATCGGCAAGCAGGTAAGTGAGGTTAGCTGGGTCGAGGAAGTATGTTGCGCCCAACTTCAAAAAGACAGTGTCCAAATAGATAAACTGAAGCCCGGTACCTTGCCCTAGGGAGGTTGGTCAAGTATAATGCAAGGTCGGCACACATTTATATCTTATCCTGCCGCATTCAACGAGGTAATATGGATGCCGCGAGCACACTCCATAGAACTTATACCCATGTCAATGCAGCTGTTCTCCTATAGAGGAGATGCCGCATGAGGCTCGGAGGCAAAGCCTTCATCCTCGAAGCACGTTATCCCAAAGCATTGCTAGGCTTGTATTCTGCAACCCCAAAGTTAAGCGAGATGGTAAAGAGGGTGAATGTAGATGAATGTCGACGAATGCATTTGCTTGATGGAGCAGGAGCCTGTTCGACGCCCCCGGCTATGAATCCCGAACCATCATTCGGCCCAAGGACATGCGTGCAAGGGGAATAGCCGATAGATGGTTACGGGCCGACCCTAGTCTCCGTGTCCGAGGTACATCCGTGGGTGACTTGCCACTACGACCTCTTCCAGAGGCAAGGGACGACGGGACGCGGGGGAGGTACCGAGCCATTGGCTAACGCATCTAGCTGCAAGGTGGCGTGGAAAGGTAGAGTACTAGGTATATGGACTTTGATCCATGCCCACGAATAGTTGGCCAGCATGCTTGCGTGGCGGACTCGAGCTTTGAGCCAGTGCAAGTTGCATATAAAAGCGCCTTAAACCAGCTCGCCACCCAAGTAACCATACCGAAGGTTCCACATTATACCTGGACCAGATAAAAATAGAGTAACAGTCAAGAAACGAAAAGGAAAGAAAGAAAAAGAAAGCGAATTGCGCCTTTCACGGTTTTTAGATACCGGTGGTGAAACGGAGCTGCGACTCTATGTTCAAACTAGATTTTCCGTCCCTGGTCTCTGGGGTAGGTTAGTCCTCGTCAGCCCCAAAGGCGGTCTGATAACTCAGGTGTCGCAGGCAGTTTACTCGGGTTAGTTACTAGGATCCTAACACTGAAAGCACCAATAAGTATTCTAGACGCGGTTCTCGTCCAAGAAAGAAGAACTTCTAGTAGTAACTAACTAGCTTGCGGGAGAGTCCTGTAAGAGACAACGGGGTTATTCTTGAACCCGCTCTCGAAGAATTGGAATCTCTCCTCGAACGCCGCGGTAGTATCACAAAGTCGCGACTAAATGTCCTCGCGCGAATGACTACCGTTCGGTTTGCCATCTTTGACCATGACATGCATCATCCTTTTGTACGGGCACTCTTTATCCACTGGTGTTTGGGCGAGCCGAAACCGGGGATAAGACTGAGCTATATACCCAAGCAGTCCGCAGAATGCTAGGGACCAGATCCCAGTTGTAAGTCTGCCCAATGGCAATGTCGACCGGGAGATTCCCAGTCATGGCATCCCGAATTGGGTGCCACAATTGTGAATGTGGCCAGGAAAGGCCCCTTTCCCGAAACTCTTGGTTGCAGCGTTGCACAAACTAATTTCTCTATGGCTATTTTCCCCATTCCCAGGTTGCCGGAAGCCTGCACTAGCTTGGAAACAGGTTAACCCCAGTTTAGAAGCTTTGCAAGCTATGGTAAGTAGTCGAGAAGAGTGTACGCCCACCTCCGCATCACTTCAGACAAACGCGACGTTTTGCTTTCTCCTTCAGGAGGTGGGCATCTACAATCGTTTGAAATTGAATGTATCGTCAGGCCCTGACAAATTGTCATCCTCAACATCGACTAATGAGCCGTCGATATTCTCGGACAAAACGGTATGGTCAATAGAAGATATATTGCCATTAGAGGGGCTCAAATGGACATCGGACCAATTCGGCTGCGCCTCATCTGACTCCACGAGGGAGGCAAGAACATATCGGCTACTATCACCCACATATATCACGCCAGGGTTCGTATCCGACCTGATCCATCTGGCTTGCCACTTGGGTGAGATCTTCTCGTCAGGAAAACGCAGGGTGCAATCCAGAACCTGAGGTCCATCAGAAAGAGGATCCCAAACAAAGACAACTCCATCGGAGTCTCGGCCTTGGCAGGTGACGAGAAGAAGCTCCGGAATTACTGGATGCCAGCGGAATGAGGCAATGTCTGATGAGAATATCAGCACTGCTCGGAGCTCCATAGCAGAAAGATCCCATATCCAAAGGGTTGTTGGCGAATCATCAATCCTTGATGCTAAGAGCGAGGAGGAGGCATCAAAGGAGCAAGAAGAACCCCCTATGGCTGCTTCAACGGAACCCGAGCTCCCGGTAGCCACTGGAGCTGGCGGGGATATGGGCTGATTGACCTTCAGAAAGGTACGAGAAATACGTGTTGACGAAGCCTGACGACTGAGCTGTTCTTGCCATATCTAATGCAGCCTTGTTAGTAAACTGTACAAGCCTCATGCCATAAAGCCAACCCAGCCAATATGAGAGATAACCAGTCTAGGTCTAGCGCCCCCGGAGATTCGCAGAACTAGTCAACTACCAACTACGCAACCAGAAGGAGGGAAATATCTCCGTCCAAGACAACGATTCGTGGCTAGGACAGAAACTAGTTGTCCTGCATCGAGTCACAACCGGGCCATTCCAGGAGCAGCATACGTACCTGGAGTGTATCCTTTGGAGAGATGGCGGCCGCGGGATGATGAAATCTCTTTGTTTCTAATGCGGCAGGCACTTCAAGGAGATATATAAAACGGGTGTGATCGCACACGGCTATCCTTGTAGCATCTGGGCTAAGCTGGCAACGCTTAATTCCTGCGCCCAGTTCGATGTGCTTCAGGTCTGGAACTGGGAGAGCCGTGTTTGGCCCGGTCCACGATCTGAAAAGATGACCGTCCGGCGTGTAGAACAGTAATTTATGGCCCTGAGATGGCGACTCCCAGGTGATGAGCCATCTCCCATCCGCAGACCACACTAAACCTTGACAATCGACAGTGTCAGGATACCAAGACCGCTGAACATCCCAAGTAGAAGGCGCATGTATGCTAATGACATCCCTGCCATTGGTACGGGTGAGCACAGCTAAATGGGAAGACTTAGGTCGAAATGAGAGGGATCTGGTGGCAGAGCTTGGCAGGTAGAATTTTGGATTATTTATTTCAACTACCTTCGACGTGACCAAACTGAAGATTGAGAGTTTGATACCCAAGGGTGAAAAGGCAAACACGGTCCCGTCATCTGGCCCGAACCCAACATGACTTGGCCGTGTGACTCCCGGGCTGGATATTCGAACTGCAGCACGGAACCCTGAGTTGGCAGTATCAAGCACATGAATGTGGCTAGCGGTGGCAAGGAGAACTTTCGACGATGAGGGAGACCAGATGAACGTCGACACAGGTCCAGACAGCTCCGACTGTTGGGGAGGCCTGTCTCGCGTATGGTTTGAAGAGAATGCACCGATCGTATGATGATCTTAGAGGAGAGGAGAGTAGCAACCATCTGCCCGTCCAGGCTAGGGGTCGAATTCGCGGACGCTAGAAAAATGAATATCGACGCGTTCAAGCCCAGCTTATCGCAGAGCCCACTTACACTTGAGTAAAGGAGAGAATATCATCGTGTCGGTCCCCGCAGTGAGAAATAGACTATCAACTTAAACCCTCAGCTTGTGATTGATCAATATTATGCAACGAAGCTACTGGTTTTGGAATGGCGCTGGATTTGTATTCGTCTCGCTGTAAGTCAGCTCAACACCAACAATAAACCGTGGTGAGTGAGCGAGCCTGCACTCCGAGAGAAATTCCGAGGACTAAAGCGGGGTAAAGAGTGCAGGGTAGGAATAGTAATCTTTCAAGGAAGGTATGAAGAAGAGGTGGCCAGGTTATGTTGGCCTTTCCGCAAAAAGGAAGGAATGTGAGGTGCCTAGGCGAGAATTGATAACTTCTGCAAAGTTTGAGCTCGTGAATATGCAGCCTTGGGGACTTGAACAACAAGCAGGAGCTTCCCCATCCAACCTGCCATCGTTGCGCGGACGCAACTACCCCGCGGAGACCTGGTTGCTGTTTACTCCATAGTGGGGCACCAGCCAATCATGTTCAGGCTTACTAACCATGACTGACGTCGGCGACCGCCGTTGACAACCCTTCGACAACTTCTTAGACAAAGGGCGTGGCAAAGATTGCAACATCCATCCTGCTCATCCCCAGGCCATTTCCCCGCCAGCCCTGGGATTTTTCTTTCACAGATACTCTAACCCTCCGGGATCAAACACGGTCCTGCACTTGGACACGGAAGTAGCCTGCTTGTGTGGTCTACGGACGGCTCTTGGCCCAGCGCAATACTCAGCGATTCTTTCCTCTCAAACATGTTTTGAAGTCTGGTCTAGCAAGCTTGTCGTTGAAACCCTTGGACGGGGTGCTCTAGGTCCGGCTCGCGTTTCTATGTTTCGAGCTGCCCTTCGCAGACTACCGGGGAAAGCTCGCAGCGCGCATACCCTCCCCGGTAACCACCATGGTCATGGTAGCGCAGGGCTCATCATTCGAGGGCTTCATGGTTGCAAAACGTTATCGAAGCCAGAGCCAGCTCCGGTTACATCTCCAGCCCCAGCCCCCAAACCTGAACGTCATCTCCAACGGGAGGCCATTCGCTCAGCGAAGCCCTTTTCCGAGTTTCTAACCGATACCTTCAATCGCCAACATGACTACCTTCGCATCTCCGTCACGGAAAGGTGTAATCTGCGCTGTGTCTACTGTATGCCTGAAGAAGGAGTCCCGCTATCGCCCTCTCGGGATGTGTTGACTACCCCAGAGATCGTGCTCTTGTCCTCCGTTTTCGTGTCCCAGGGTGTAACCAAAATTCGCTTGACTGGCGGAGAGCCGACTGTGAGGAAAGATATCGTCCCGTTGATGCATCAAATAGGCTCTTTGCGGCGCCAGGGCCTTCGCGAGCTTTGTCTAACTACGAACGGCCTTTCTCTTCACCGAAAACTTGATAGCATGGTCGAAGCCGGCCTTACCGGTATCAATATGAGCCTCGATACTCTTGACCCCTGGCAATTCCAGATTATGACCCGCCGCAAGGGGTTTGACGCTGTCAAACGGAGCATGGACAAGATCTTTGAGCTCAATCGTCACGGCGCTGGAATCAAGTTCAAGATAAATTGCGTGGTAATGCGCGGCGTCAACGATCGCGAGATTATGTCTTTCGTCGAAATGACTCGCGAAAAGGATGTCGAGGTGCGCTTCATCAGTACATGCCGTTTGATGGAAACAAATGGAACAAGGGGAAGATGTTTAGCTATCAGGAAATGCTGGACCTGATCAAGGACAAGTATCCTACACTCGAAAAGGTCCCGGGCCACCGGAATGACACAAGCAAGACATGGCATATACCGGGTTTCGCTGGCAAACTTGGCTTCATCACCAGCATGACGCACAACTTTTGCGGGACTTGCAACCGCCTTCGGATAACGAGCGATGGGAACCTCAAGGTATGCCTCTTCGGAAACGCGGAAGTGTCCTTGCGCGACATCTTGCGGAAAAGCAACTGCGGCGAGCCCATTGATGAAGAAGCTTTTGAGGCTATGAAGCGGGTTGGCCTAGACCAGAGCCTCGGTCTACTCACCGCGGACAGCGCCCCGGGACACCTTGCGAACCAGGATGAACTCCTACATATAATCGGTATGGCTGTGAAACGAAAAAGGAAAAACATGCCGGAATTGGCGAATTGGAGCACATGAAGAATAGGCCCATGATCCTCATAGGTGGGTAGCGGAGCCCCATTTGTCCCCATTTGCACTCGAACACCTGCTTCTTGCATCGGCTGGCCAATGTGGCAAGAGATTTGGCTGTCATACTGCAGCGTTGGCTGCTCGCGTATTGAGAGTCCCTAAGAATCATCTCTGGCCCCCGAACGTCTGGACTAAGTTCACCACACAGATCCGGCTTCTGCTCAAGGACACCGATCGCCAACCTCCAGCTTCGTGGTGGAGCCACCACTATTGCCCACCTTATGGGCTGGGAATACTGCCAGAAGGGCCCTCTTAACAACAAATATGGTGCCTACAAGCTTACGGCTATATTCGACATCCCCCAGACACTATCGGAAAGATCATAGGACCTCACAGGAAAAGCTCACGCACGTCTCCGAGTCGGGGTCTGCGCACATGGTGTCTATATCGGAAAAGACGGTTACGTCCCGAGTTGCTACTGCCGCTTGTACCGTACGCTTCTCGAACACCACGGCTATCAAGCTTATTGAAGAGAATGGTATGAAGAAGGGAGATGTGTTAGGCGTTGCAAGAGTAGCCGGCATCATGGCTTCCAAAAGAACTCCAGATCTAATACCTCTTTGCCATCCGATTCCGATATCCCACGTCAGCATTGATCTCACCCTCGATCCGGCGGGAAACACTATCGACGTTAAGGCGACAGTAGCGTGCGACGGGAAGACGGGAGTGGAGATGGAGGCATTAACGGCCGCATCGACGGCAGCGCTGACAATCTACGACATGTGCAAGGCCGTCGACAAAGGCATGGCTATCGATGGTTTACGTGTTATTTTGAAAGATGGTGGCAAGAGTGGCAGATGGGAGATGCCATGATCACTCCAATATGCACCATCACACCCAAAGAATATGAAGAGGTCGTTTTTCTATCTCTGGAAGGCGAATTGCTTTCGAGCAACGCAAAGGACTACGGCTTGATTGTTTTTTGCGGCTCCATCACAAGGCAGTGGGCCCTGCATCGTCTGCTCGGTGCACCCTTTGTTTCGAGACAAGGGTTTGGGACGGGCCAAGATGGCCCCTTGCCGCCGTCAACCGGCCATCGCGCCTATCGTCTTCAGTCTCTGAGCCTTTTCTCGAATGTGGGGGTCGAACTTTTTGGTTGGTTGGTGAAGCTCAAACTAGGAGCTGTAGGTCATTCCAAGGTGCATGAGAGGGGGCGGGGAGGGGCAAAAGCGGTCTGATGAACAGAAGCTCGACTAGGACTGGTGATGAAAGGAGGGGCTTTACAGAGTTCTCACGAAACGTTGACATATAGTTGAGGCGAATCTTTCGCGGGGCCCTTTTCTCTCCATTCTCGTTTAAGATGGGAGGTGTGTAGTGGCGGCAAATCGTGCTTGTATGGGCGAAATTTGGATCGAGGGATTGGTTACATCCCGAGAGATCGGGGAGTTGTAAGAATTGCATAATGTCAACGAAAATTTGGGTTGATCACTTTCTTCCCCGCCTAGCTCGTCACTAATCATCACCGACCGAGTGTAAAGATTGTGAAGAACAAGAGGGACAAAGAGGGGCCACGATGCATCTCCGCCTGGTATTCCTAGCAATAGCTCGCGCGGCGTTCACACTGCCCCTCTTTCCTCACCCCGCTAAAGACCCAAAGACCTGTAACGAGGAGGTGGGAGAGAAGTTTGATGCATCACGAACATCATGGAGTCTCGTGACCATGCACGAGGGTGAACGGTGCCGTGACGGCCTGCAAAGAGGATGGGGGAAGGGCTGGGAATTTTCACATCTCAGCCCATCCCCATTTACTACACATGCGCTCCTTGTTTGCCCCTCCATGATTCTATATGTATTATCTCCGAGTCCGAACCGGGAGCCGGACAAGGGACCAGAGGGCGGTGAACAGCGGGGTACTTACCCCGCTGCGGAGGCCGTCTGCGAAATCGCAGGTAAACGGTACCGCCCGACGGCACAATGCCACTCGCCCCTGTGTATGCACAAGTATTTGATCTGAGCGGCCATTTCCGATCTGGCCGCCGTCTTCTTCGATTTGATGGGGGTTTGTCTATTTTTTTCTTGCGCCTTTGCTCTCCTCCCCCTTCTTACTTTCTCTCAGGCAATGGGTTACAAGGGAAGACAGTCTACTACTCTTCTCTTCTTGATCTAGCCTCACCCCTTCAATCAAGTATCGGGAAGCAACTGCTTTTGGTGGGTTGAAAGCAACAAAGTTTTTGGATGTGGGAAATTGGCCGCCGGGTGTGCCCGCCACAAAAAACCATCCATGCAACTGGGAACTGCGCAACACCAATAATGCTAAGTATCGCCAAGTAATTGAATTTGGCTCGGTCGGCGAAGAAGGAAAAGAGGAAAGATGTCGTATGGGCTGACCTCTCTTCGAGGAAGGAGAAGAACGACGAAGAACGATTCTGCGCAAGAGCCTGGCAGCTTCTGGGGAAGCTTCGTTCCTGGGAAGGAGGGGCGAAGCGGGATCGGATGAGGACAATAACCAATCAGACATCAGCGATAAGACAGCTCCCCAATGCGGTTAGAAAGGAAGGGCGCATGTGGGGCGGTTCCACATGCCGCTTTTTTTGACTCGCCTCTGAAGTGAGGAAGGAAGAGATGGGTATTAGATGCAGGTAATAAGTCTGGGCTGCAGCCACTCTATTGTACCCCCAGGGAACGAGCCGTCGCTCTCGAGCGCATTGTCTTGTGCAGCATCAACAATGAATCATGGTTGATGCATTGCTTGTCCAAAGTATCTTTTCGTCCACCGATCATGGGTAACGGCGGCAAGTTTGGGTTCATGGCGCCGCGGCGAAGGACGGGGAAAGAGGGGAGCTCGGGGTATCATATTTCTTTGCTCTTCTTATCGTTAGAAAAGGCCCGGATGGAGGTCTGTCTGGGCCAAGCATAACCTTTTTCTTTCTTTCCATATTCATTCCTGGCACTGTATACTGGACGAGGCGAGGCGAGGCCCAGTTATCCTGCCGCCCGATTGGATACGAGCGAGATGGCCGAGAGGAGGCAAAAGAAAAAGTTGGCAAGCAAGAGGCAAGAGGAGGGATCTACCGTTTGGGTCGAGAGCCTCTTTGCGTGCACCAGTGACAGCCAACAACATCATGATGCATCACATCACGGACAATCGTCGACCTTCCGGCAACGATGAGCGGCCAGGGCCCCTGAAGATTATTGTATCACCTAAAGTCCCCACGATAGGAAAAATGTTCTTTTCTGTCCCCCAGCCAGTGATATAAGATAAAGATAAACGCGGATGTCGATCAGAAGATTCCCCGAGTGCGAGATCCTCGAATCGGAGCGATGGGAGCGATGCGCGCAAGATTCTAAAGGTTTCCTATCTTTGGTTTTCTGTTCAAGGTTCTCGGGATGTGTCTCGCAGTTTGATGGTAGCAAAAGTCGTGCATGGAGGAGAGAGAATCCCGAGATGGTGGTGGGAGCGGTGACTGATGGAAGGATCAATGCATTGAGGAGGACGGGGAGCGGTGGAATAGTAGGAAGCGTTCTGGTCCGCCGAAGTTGGGCTGGCCAGCATCGGCATGAGGAATTCCAACGATAGCCGCCGACCACCCGAGCACTGCTTACAGTTCTTTGCACACCCGAAGACTGATTTACACACTTACATTGATCTTGTGTCCCACACCCTCACGATTCCCGCAGTGCTGAATTTCAGCCCAACAGCGAGGGGCCCTATGAAGGGAAATTTCCGCCTCGTGGGAATCTGGCCATTTGCATCTTTAACCGACATGGAAATCAAGGAAGCCGAGTCCAAGTGTGCAACCTCACATGCTGGAATATCCTAACGATACTCTGTTTCGCTGCCCCTCCCCTCTTCTATCCCACCCTCCTTCTCCGTCGCTCAAGCACATGGCTTCATTCGAAAGTGTCGCGCTTCTGGTCTCCCACCCATCTTCCCATGCACGTTGACTTGTCACCAATTAAAGACCACACCTCCCACATTTTGTGGCACCCACCTTTGTTTTGCAGCAAGGCTGGATAGCGATGGTGTCGTCCAAATATAGTGCCGATGCGTTAAGCTTTCCCTCATCAAACCCAAAAGGCATTTCCTTTAGCACTTCCCCTCCACTAGCACATGGTTCGAGACGGAAATTTCGAGACGAAGTATCTCGGGGGAGGGCAAAGGAAGAAGGGAAAAGAAACACCGAAGCTAGAAGGAAAGGGGAAAAGGGCAGAGAGAGAGAGGGGGCCTGGGCAGGATCCCATAGATTCTGGACCGGCTTCATCTTGGCCGAATTGCGAAGTTGGAGGGGAGAAAAGAGGCCTCGCTGGCTGGACCGGAGGATAACTTCAGGAAAAAGGCACCCGAAAGCCCTCCCGTTCGAACTAGGGCGCCCCGAAGGTGGTCGGTGGCGTTGGTAAAGGGAAAACTCACACAAAAATTGTTGCGTTGTCGCGGGCTCGGGGTGGCTGGCAACGGAGGCGGCGGCGGGGGGACCCTCCTTGCTCGCCCTCTTGCTCCCTTTGGGTTTAGTTTATCCTTCGCGAAGGGCGAGCTTGGGAGATGAAGGGGGAAAGGGATGGCCATTTGCGTCATCACCCGGAATTGAGGGCGTAATCGGGAGCGGTGACCGGAAGAGGGCTGCCAACTCCCTCCCACCAAAACTTCGAGTTATTCGGCATGTGGGAAACGGCGAAGTCCACCCCATCCCCGGAGGCATCCTCTCCGCCATGGGGACAAAACGGCGATCGGATCGGCCGAGAGGCAATGTCAACGTACTATCACCAACGTTTCATCGGTCACTCGTTACAACCATGAACATTCAACATGCGGTGTCATTTACGTCTACAGAGGATATTGTACACAGTTTCTCGAGCGAGGTTGAGGGCTTTGCGAGCTAAAAGTAAAACCAAAAGTCTTCTGAGACTTGGTGAGGTACGGAACAAAAATAGCAGGCTTTCGCAAGCCTCATTATCCCTTGAGGCTGGTTCTGTGACGGATGGTGAGAGTGAGAAACTGCTGATTGCTAGGTCTATTCTCCTGACCAAGAACGCCGCCCTTGAGCGTTCAACCTTGTTTCTGTAACGATGGATGTCAGTTACACTCGAGACTATCGGAGGAGTCTTGAGAAGTCTAACGCCCAGGTGCGAGCGTGAGCTCGAAATAACAGATGTAGCTAATAAAGGTGTCGGAGCAGAGGTGGGAGGGGGTGAGAACCAGCCCAGTGCGAGAGAAATCGCGATGGCCAGCCACGATCAATCCACTAATCCTGTAGCTCCCAAAGGAGCTTTGGAAGCACGTTAATTCGCTCCCAGTAAAATTCTTGCACCCAGTTTCTTGTCGTCCGCCCGTCTTTCTCTCCCCCACCCTTGTCCTTGCTCTCTTGGTTCCGTAGATGTATGTTGTAGCTGTCTAAATGCGGGAAGTGATCTCGTTGGGAGGATCCACTTGGTTGCTCCTAAGCACTCACAGGCTCCATATATATTTTATCCACTCTTCCACTCGCCATCGTTCGTCTTGGCTTTCCTCAGGTCCCCTACATTAGTCTCGATGGGACCCATTTGAATGCTCCCCAAGCTTGTGTCGATGGAGAACCCAGTGGGAACATGGCCCAAAGACCACTGATAGCACGGTGGAGTGACGGCCGCTTGGAGCGAATGAAATAATAGTAACCAAGGAGTCGCGGCCGGAAACATCGATGGATCTCAAAAGCCGGGCGATCGCGTTCTTCGGCCGGCTAAATGCTTCTTGGGAGCCTTATCAGCGGCGCTGTGCAACACGAAGGGGGAGGGATCAAGTCCATAGCTTTGGAGGGGCCTAATATTGCCATTTTCATTCCACCCACATACGCACGCTCTTGGCCGACTTGTCCGGGCACGCATCCCGCCCGATTTCGAGCCGATGTGCCCCAAGGCCGCGGCCGTTCAGCGCCGGAACGTCGCGACCCAGATTCTGTCTCGCAAAGCATAATATTTTAATGAGAAGAACTAATAGAAGAAACAGGCGAAATGATAGGACAAGTCCCTCGGTTCGAGGTCAAGTGGATTCGTGACTGAATGGCCAGCTTAGATCTGACAAACTGCCGTAGCCATGAATAGGGTAAACAACTACTTGCGAACCTGCTTCTGCTGCCGCCCGGGAGGGCCTCCTACCTGAAATCTCTATTTCTTTATCAACCTTTGCTGAAGATCTGGTCACTCTCAGCGCGTCCCTGCCGTAGTCAACGTTTCAGTATGGAACGGTAGGGGCGCCGCGAGAGGCCCAGCCAGTGAATTGGGTTTGCGCGTGTCGCTCTTCTCCCCCTCCCCTACCCCCACCACGGCCCTTCTAAACGAGGGTCGATACCCTTCGGTTTTCCCGTTCCCCATCTGCAGTTTTGTGGGGATCGAGATATCTGATGAATGGGGGATACGTACCCGACCCGAGGCGCATGAGAAGGGGGGAGGGAACGAATCTCCTGAGGAAAAAAAAAAAAAAAAAAAGAACAAGAAAGAAAGCGTTGCGCGTAGACACTCGCTTCGCTTCTTTTTTATATCCTTCTCTCGACAAGTGTCGTGGGAGGCTAAACCCCGTTCAAGAGGGGGCTCCGACGTCGCACGAGGGGTGGATTGTGTCTTGTATGCAAAGTAGGAAACCACCACCACACTACGCTACCCCTAAAAATAATGGAGGGTATTTTTGTCGTCGCTATTGATTCCAAGACCAAGCGGTGGGTGTGAAGAAGACACAGTGAAGACATCGGAAAAAGGAACAAAAATATAATCATAATCAACCACACCATTGATTCGGTCGGCTACACCACATGGAGCCAAAGGAGCCACAAAGCACCGACCACCCCGAACGCCTTTCCATAGCACTAGAGAAAGATTCGGAGCAAACCGAGCGGAATCCCGAAGCTTTGCGGTGAAGAAGGACGAGGATCACCCAGCAACGGCCATGAGAAGCGCCAGTTGGAGTCTTTTCAAAACAAATCCTCCCCGTCTTTCCCCTCTCCAGGGGCTCAAGGAAACCATATTAATACCACCTCTGCTATTTGCTCTCCCTGGAGCGTCTCATTCAAAAGTGGAATTTGGGGGTTTGTTGTTAGTAACAGGAATGCCAGAAAAGTGGCTCCGATCGGAGGACTTGGGCCGTGCTCTGCCAGGGGGGATGGGGTTCCCAGGAGCTGAGGGTCATGGCATATTGGTCTTCAAAGACAGGGTCTGGGCAGGGGTCTCATAATGGTCTGTTCACCCATTGACTTCAAAATCCCCCACGGTTGACCAGAGTAACTATGGCGCAGGCGGCTGACACAGGAAGCTTCGTAATAGGCGCCGGCCGAGTGGGCAGATGAGGCGTTCGCTGCTCCGAGGCGGAAAGAGCGATGGCTAAATGATTGATGGTACGGTCGGCCAAAGACAGGGCACACTGTGCCGAAATACAATAACACAGGATCAAACCAGAAAATTGGATTTTGGGAGAGGAAAGAACAACCCATTGAGGAAAAGAGACGCCACAAGGTGCGCCGGCAAGTGGATGGGTGAGCTGTGGAAGATGGTTGTGTGCATTTGTACATCAGTGCATCATCATACAAGCGTGCCTGGAATGTGGCAAACGGCCATTACAGGCGAAGAGTGTGGTGGGGGAGGAGGGGAGGGGACAAGTAGTCCCTGCTGCAATTCGTCAACCAGTAGAGGGTCCCATCTCCTATCGAGGCAACCGGTTCACTGATCGGCGAGAAACTGATGATAGCAATGCTTAGGGCGATCTTTGCAACCGGAATACCTCGAATCGACGTCGATTTCGACTCATAGGATGAGCGCGACGTCGTCAGTCATTGATAGTCGTCTCATGCCGAGGTTTAAGGCTGGTTGTAATGGGTTCTATAAGAAACCGTTGGTCCAGAGACATGGTCTCTAACGTGCGTCCCCGGCCCGGGGTATCACGACTAATCAACATGCTCAACACAGGAGATAGAGATCCTTCTCCCCAAAATCGCCTGCAATACAAGCCGTCGCCCGTAATAAAAGTCTTCTTGTCAGTCTCCTGTGCCGCCGGCAATATTAACAAATCGAGGTTGATCGACACAGAAAGGCGAAGCCCACAACACGCACTTCGGTCTAGCCAGCCTCTCCGGCAAGCTAGGCCGGGCGCCGTTTTGCGCCAACCTGACAAGAACAAAAACTCGTGGTAAACTTGCGTTGCTTCCCGGCAAAGCCATCACCCGCTGGTGTTTTCACCCCCTGGCTCGTCCTCCCCAGGCAAACACCCCTTGTGGCTCTCGGCCCTCCAACTGGGAGAGCATCGCGCCGCAAGCCTCACCTACTTTGCGACGTTGACCGAGTCGTTTGGTCTAGGCGCTTGACGTGGGTTGCTTTGGTTTTTTGGTCATTTTAATCTCTTTCTCCCCCAGCTTTAAAGTTTGGGCTTGCACAAGTCCCAAGCCAGCAAGCAGGGCTTGAATCGTGAGGCCCGCCTTCGACTCGAAACCACCCATCATCCCATGCAGTTGCGCCCGTTCCAGCAAGACAGATTTCATATAATCGGACACTGGCACCCTCGCACCAACCCGCCGCCCACCCACCTTTCTCGCGATCCTACACTACCGGGCCGCAGACCTGGCCCCGACAAACGCCAACACCTTCACCTCGCTACCGCCCCCTCCCCGAAATACTTCTCCATTGTTCCTAATTTTCTTTTTCTGGTTTTCACAATCAGCTCGTGTTAAGGTTGGGCGTCAATCTAGTTTAGGCTTCAGAAGCAGAGAAAGAGAACCGAGGCAAAGCAAGGAAAGATAAGACAAGAGGAAACTTACCTCTGTTCGCCTCCTTTACCCGCGCTACACCTCAAACGTTCCCAAGTCCTACAAGGACGTATGTGTCAGTTTTGACCGTGATAAGTCCGCCGCCGGTGCCTCAGCTTTAGGGACAAAAATAGGAAGTGTTGAAGCGCCAAGATTGAGAGAGACAGCAACCGCATGCACTACCTTTTCTTTTTCCCTCTTTTTGTTGTTGTTCTTTGTTCCCTCGAATTGTGAGGTCTCCCAATCATCGTTGCTGCTCTTGCTCCCGAGCTTCCTGGTTCCCCATCGCTGTTGCGAGCATAGCACGCGCTCACTCCGTCAAGCCGGCTTTTGGGTACGAGACCAAACTAAACCGCATAACGAGACAGAGTTGCAACCAAACTGCATCGGCCTGCCTGGTGGTTCTCGCAGACTACGTCGTATTACTATCCGTTATCTTCGACAATACTGCCTCTGGCTTTTGGTTCCCGTGCTAGACTCGATCCGTCGTCGCGCCAAGCAAAGACCGATCCGCCAATTGCCGCAGGCGTTATAAGTTTTATTACGACCCAGGCTTGTAACTGGTGGGACAGTAACCCACCCGCTAATCCCCACTCCGCAATAATAAGCAGGACGGTTACGGAGCATTACCTCTTCTCAGAAGGGTAAAAGTCCCCACGCCCACCTCCTCAAAACTCATTGCACTGTGCATCTACCTCCACGGCCTCGCTTCAGACGCCCCCTCCCACCCTTCCTTCCATCGTTCGCTAACCTCCGTCCATCGCCCCCCTCCTTCCCTAGCTCCCCAGTGCTCCTGCCCTTTTAAAATACAATACCCACCCCCGAAATTCCCAAAAGCCAGCCGAGACCCAGCGCAACAGCGACGTTCCCACGATTGCTCCTTCCCGCTTCCGTTTCATCGCCTCGACAATCTCCCACTCGTCTTGCAAAGGTGTGAGACACGATACTGTCTCTTTCTTCGATCCTCCTCCCACCTCTTCTTTCCTCGCCTATTCTCTCCCACATCCCCTTCTTCGACTGAACGAGTCACCGATCGCATTTCTCCAAGCAAAGTTGCGACCAAAAGAAAAAGCGGACCGGCAGACGATTCGCTTGTAATCAATCGGCGACGTACATCACACCTCGTCACCCACCACCGTCCTTGTCGCCCTCGCGCCAGAAGAGTTTAAACTCGCCCCCTTCGCCCGCACAACACGCACACGCACCGCAATCGACCCCTCGGTGTTTCTCCCTATTCTTTCGCGCCGATACGATAACTCAGTATTTCACCAGCTGCTTTTTTATTCACGTCTCAGCACATTCTTCCAAGCCTGATTGCACGCGACCACTTTCCGACCATGGCGACCGAACTCATCATGCCCTCGGTCAACACGCAACCGGGGTATGGCTTCTACGACCGACCTCAGCACCACCGATCCCAGTCCTACCAGATTCCTCAGCGCGGCGTTAACTACACGGGCGTCTCCTCCCTCAGCAGCAGCAACTCGTCTGGCAACTCTCCCACCTCTCCCAAGGCCTACCACACCCGCCAAGCGCGTCCTCTCTTCATGCCCGCAGCCCTCCGCCCCAACGAGTTTCCTCCAAGCCCATCCCTACCCCGAAATCTTCCGTTTCCGAGGATAGCACACCTGTTGGCAGTCTGACGCGGTCGAATACCAGTCTTTTCGGTTTTGCTGGGTCCGCCGTGTCGCGCCTGACCCGTAGGTCTACTGGAGACAGCGGCAAGGCTTTTGAGGAGGACGAGGATGAGCTTGACGTCGATATGTTCCCCGACGTGACTGCCCTACCCACAAAACAACACTGGAAGGTACGTGAACTTGCTTGCGCGGCCGCGCAACGTTGCCTATCCCTGGAGCGTGGCACCTTCAGGGACCCTCCCCAGAAAGCAATGGCGCCAGATTAGAGGCGGTCTCAAGATGGTTGTGTCTCGGATCTACTCTCGAACACGCGTCCTCTTGTGCCACTGTCCAGCACCCAACCCAGCCCACGTACCACTTGCTTAAGTTCCCTGTTGTCTAACATGAGTTCTCTTGTGCCCTAAACAGCCCGATCCGGCATCCACGGTTTGCGACGACCCAACTTGCAAGCGAACCTTTGGCTACTTTACGCGCCGCCACCACTGTCGCCGCTGTGGTAACATCTTTTGCGACACGCATTCCAGCAATGCGGTCATCCTCGACCAAGACGCCAACTATAACCCCCGCGGTTCGCCATCGCGTGCCTGCAATCACTGCCACACAGAATACCAGTCCTGGAGGAGCCGCAACAGCAGCCGTAACTCGAGCTCAGCGTCTTCCGAGATCGCGGGGGCATCCGCCTCGGGTCCCAAGGCCTGCAATTCGATCGCTGCGTCCGCCAACGCTCTCGCAAGCTTGGATCTTGCCAAGGCCAGCGTTGCTGCTAGTGTGCCCAGGGACTGGAACTGGAGCACTTTTTAAGAACCTGAGTCCGAAACCATGAATTGGAGCGCAATCACGACGTGGGTGCATGCACGCACCCGCGCCATTGCGTCGATGTTCGTGTGGTTGCCGAGAAGAAGGTCGCGCGTCGCGCGAAGATGCTTCTTTCCTTCTAGCTTCTATGGTCTGCACATCACCACCGACAGAAGATCGCCGTCCAGAGCTCATTGGCAGTTTTCGGAGCGGGTCGCGTGGTGGCGACGGGTGGTGGAGACACCTAGACTGGGATGATCGAATACGAAGTCGACAGGCGCTCCGAGACCTCGGCTTACCCACATTGAATTCCAGGGGACTGGGCCTCTTTCACTTCTCCACAACAGGTAAATTCGCCTTTTCCTATCCAGACTCGACTACATGGATTCGCGAGCTTTGTAACGAGATCTAACAAGAATCGGCAGCACGTTTTTTTCTTTCAGTCGTCTGCCAGTTCCCATGCCGAAATGCGGAGGGTGAGGGAGCGCGTTGTTCGCAAGCGTGCGCGAGGAACGCAATCCCGGTTCATTTTCGAACTTCAGAGGGTGCATGCACCACCAGTGGCACTGGTCCCAAAAGGAGCCAGCACGATGAGCACCGCCCTCTGGCCACTCGCTAGCGAGATTGGTGAACTGAAGTGGCCGAGAATTAGTGGGTCTTGCCCCTAAAGATTGATCAATTTTGGTGGGCGCAAACCGCGAAACCCCACCCATCAATTGCTCCAATCAGGACGACAGCGAATGTAATGCCGAAAGAAAGCCGCCCGCCAGCCCGACCCTCACAATTTGTCGCCTTCGCCGAGTAAAAGTGGAACGGCGAGCAGCAGCGTGCCTCGCCTACTTTACTCAAGTAGGCAATCCCGCCCCTCTTTGATTTTATCCACCACCACTTCGGCGCTCCGAACGACGGCGGACGTGCACTAGCTCGACTAGCTCTCTCTCGGCTTTGAGTCGATTTGGGCGCCAACTCTGGCCCGTCGTAGCATCCGCCCCCGTCGCTTACCTCTGCCTGCCTTCCCATCAACCAAACCAACCCTTACGTGGGGAGGGGACAGTTGAGACGCGTATACACAAACTCCAACTTTGCCCTCCCCAGGTTTAATTCCCATCAGTTCTACCAGGCGACGGCGGCAAAACAGCCCGCCTCATCGTACGTGCACGTCGTTGAGAAGCTTGGGGTCACTCTAATCGACACCTGTTGGTCCCCCGGGTTTCTTGGCGCCGATGTCGCGCGGTCCCAAATTGAAGATTGCTTCATTTTTCCCTCCCCTTCTGTGTGGTGATGATTTCATCCTCCCTCAAACTTACACGTTTTTATCCTCCTTGCCCTTGCCTTTTTAGACGGCCGCTTGTTTCTTGTTCCGTTGCTTTGCTTTGATTTGCTCCTTGTTCAAGCCTGCTCTGCTTATATATTGTTGTTTGCATTCACGCTTGTTCCCTCGAGAGAACAAGATGTGTCCATCTGAAGCGCGGAGTTTTTCTCTTTCATGCCTTGGTTGCTTTTACAGCGAAAGCTTAGTTTCTTGTTTTCGTGTTCAGTCTTCCTGGTCTCTTCTGCATTTGTTTTGACCCTTCTTCTCCCCTTATGATTCGGTTTAATATACCCTGGACATGTGGAACAAGTCCTTGTCTTGCCTTGCTATCTCTCTGCGCTTCAGACTGATGAAAGAATTTTTTGATTTTTTTTTCCTTATCTCCTTACCTTGATGAGCCTGGCGAGGGATATTTGGAATGGACTAGAAGAACAGAGATGGAAATACCATAAAAGGTTAGGAAAGGAAACAAGAAATGAGAAGAGGGAAAGGTCGGTCCCTTTATGCCCGATAGATAATAGACTCAATTAATATTCTCTACATTGACAAGACTTTGCGTGAAAGAATGAAACCATGAAGACAATAGATGTGAGTTAGGCTGTTGACCTCCTCTCTCCACCGTCTGACTTCAAATGTTGATAGTGAAAGCCTGGAGCAGGTCAGAGGCTTTTCACTTGCATGGCACTCAAGGTTTGTGGTGGATGTTGCCTTTTGAGAACCAAGTCCCTCTATTCTTTCGAATCGATAACGAGGAAAGGTGAGGAGACAAGCTTGAGGGGGCCTCGCTTTCCATCCGGCACGCGTTCCCTTGGTGCAGATTCGTTCCCCTTGTGTTACGGGATAGGCACATCGTCCGTCCTCGCTTCCTTTTTTAGTCCTTGTTATTTTTTGTTTGTTTTCGCCTTCTTTCCTTGCTCGTTCGAGGGATGAGATGGCTAGGGTCGTGGAGAGTTTTCTTGTTTCTTCGTCGGGTGTTTGGGGGTGGAAGCATGAACTCGAGACTGTTGTAAGTAAAGTATCTGCTCTAGTCCCATGGGACTAGAAACCCAAAAGAACATGAGCAGGGTCAAGCAAACGCGGAATGAGGGAGACACAATGTTTGTCTCACGAGAACAAGGCAACAAGATAACAATTTGATGGAGGGAGCGACCATCAGCGCTTCGGCAGTCTCCCAAGTGTCACCAGGTTGTACGCGTTCATCTGCTTTAAACTTTGATATTTTTTGTCTTTGATAGTAAAACAAGATCTAGAGAAAGTTGCAAAATATATACCCCTCCAAACCATTTCATCGTTCCACATTTCCCCATTCTCCGTTTCCTATTTTTTTCCCTTCTTTTCCCCTTGCGAGAGATTTAGATTTCTTTGAGGAGAGGGTAGAGGAGGTTGGTTCGTCTTCGCCTCGATTGCTTACATGTTATCGTACGAGTTCTGTTCTGGCCTCCCAACAAGGGCATCGTTGAGGCCGGAGAGTGGGCCGATTTTGTGTTGCCCGTTGCATCTCTCTTGATCCTTTCCATCACACCGAGCAATGATTGCTTCCGATCTCCCTCCATATTAACTCTGTGAGATGCATCTCCCTTCCTTCATCTTCTCTCCAAAACACAAATTCCTCTTTTTTAGTTTGATAGAAGCAAGAACAAAAAATCTACTCCATTCATCTCTCGAATGTTTCGGCATTTCTCTTCTGGTCTTCTCCTGCTCAGTCGTTCGACAACATCTCCTTACGCCCTCCTCGAGGCACGAGTCCGGCTCTTGGGCTTGGGCGACGGCACAACAACCTCGTCATCCTCGATGGCCTCCTCGCTGCCGTTGCCGTCACCGTAGACCTCCCTGTTGACCTCCTTGGCGGCGTCCCAACCGGCCTTCTCGGCCCTCTCGACATTGCTCATCCTCCTCTGGGCGGCGCTGCCGTTGCTCTTGCCCTTGGCGCGAACGGCATCGGCCCTACCTCGGCGGAGGTAGCTCTCGATGAAGAACTTGACAAAGAGGTAGGTCAAAGGCGCGAGGTACAGGACGTTGAGCCAGATGGCAAACGTAGAGCCATCGGTAGTGATGCAGCGCTGCTCAACATAGGTGGTCTCGGTGCGGGTGACGAGAAGGGGCTCGGCGGGCGCGGCCGGGGCTGAGACACGGCGGCGGCAGCCTCCGAGACCTTGGCGGCGGCGCCGAAGAAGAGCGCCTTGAGGGTATCGGCGAGTCCTTCGGCGACGGGAGCCTCGGCGTCGGCGGCAGCAGCAACGGAAGAGGATGCAGCAGCAGCCGCAGCAGCTTCGGTGACGCTCTCGGTGATGACGTTGGTCACGGGGACAACGTAGGAGACGAAGGAGTGGGCCATGGCATAGGAAGCGCCGACGAGGAATTGGGTGATCTGCATGGTGGTGAGGGACCGCTTGATGATCATGGGGACGCGAATCGAGAACGCGGTTACGGTATAGTAAGTGTACTGCAAATCCGGGTGGCCCCTAGTTAGCTAACTTGCACACTCGCTTAGACGGGCTTGTTGGCCGGCGGACTGAATATCCGGCTCCGGCCAAAGTCCGGACAAGCAACAAGAGATTGACGAGTGGGGAGGGGGTGAGACATACCATCATGGCGTGAATGAAGGAGTTGACAAAGGCAAACATCCAAATGGGGGCGGCCATATAGCGGATACCAGCCCACATACACATCATGGCACCGGCGTGGTGGTAGGTCTGCAGAGTGGAGCTCTGCTTACCCTTGGCGAGGATGATGAAGGTGTCGAGAACCTCGTAAAACTTGCTGAGGTAAAAGATCCAGCCGTAGAAGGCGAGGCCCTCGTTCCAGATCCTGCCCGGGGCGTGGACGTCCGGCACGCCGGCCGAGGTGATGGCGGGGCTCTGGGTAAGGCTGGTCCAGCGGCCCTGGTCGTTATCGAAGTAGACGGCGTTACCAAGGCCGGGGATCCCGACATGTGGCACAAGCTATCGACGGTGCCGGCGAGACCGGCAGGGCCAAAGGGGTTCTGGACGCTGACCTTCAAGGTCCTGAACATGCCAACAAATGTCCAGGCGGAATAGACGGCGAGGAAGACATTGTGGAGGATGACGAACCAGGCGAAGCCCGTCGTCTTGGCGATTGCCCAGGGCTTCTTCCCATTAGACGTGTTGTAGACGTTGAGAGCCTTGACGGTCACGGCGTAGACGGCGGCAATGGTGATGGGAACGCGCGGGTCGAGGGCGGCGTCGAAGATGTTTTGAGGAATCGTAAAGGTGGCGGCGCGGGGAGTCCAGCGGCGCCGGCGGGAGGAGGAGCTTGCGACTGTGCGATGTGGGTCGGGGGAAGTTGAAAAGCGAAGCCGGAGGCATGGAGGCAAGTACGGTGTCCATGGCGGGCGGTGGGAGAGATGTGGACTGAGAGTAAAAAGAGGAGGAGCCGAATGGGGTGGGAGGAAGAGGCGAGAGGATACGCGGGAGAGCTGCTTAAGAGCTCTTACAAGGGGCGGTTTGCTGGGCGAGGAGCTGTTTGTCTGACGACACCCAATCAGAAAGCGACCCGACGAGTCAATCGGCGAGATCGAAAATTGGCTGCGAGGATTCGCTCCGACCGAACGACGATGTAAGTCGAGGAAAGGGGGGATATTCGATCCTTTATCAAGCTCAGCACGTGCCAGACAGCAATGCACGACGCAGCCGTTTACACGACACTTTTGCACACACACACGCGCGCGCTATCTCTCTCTCTCTCTTTGGAGGGTGAGGGGAGATCAGCAAGCAAGAAGGGGGAAGCAAGCTGTTGAAGCTGCGCGGGCGGGAGGGAGAATAGGGATAAAGCGGGAAGATGGATGTAATAATGGGAAGGGGAGGAAGGAGAAGAAAGAGGGAGAAACGAGGGAGAAAAGGAAGTGAGGGTCGAAACAAGAAACAGACAGGGGAGGAGAAGGCGGAAAGAATGGTGTCCATATTACATATGACATGGGACATGGACCGGGAGGCATACCCAGGCCGGACAGGCGCAGACCGAGCAACAAAAAAAAAAAAAAACGAAAAAAAAAAAGAAAAAAGGTTTGCCAAGATCGTTGGCTCGTGGGTCTTTCAACCACGAGCTTGCACCCTCAACTGCTTTCTTTCATGGGAGCGCAGTACCTTCGGAAGTCGCAAGTACTTTTTGGGGTCCTTTGTTTCTTTTTCTTTTTCTTTTTCTTTTTCGTTTTCTCTTTTGGGGGCCTCGTTCCTTCCCTCACCCGCAACAACTTCCCACAACAACTTCCCATCCCGATCCAGTGCCCGCCTTCCCTGTTGGTACAATATTTATGGCCCCGCCGAGGAAACAATTGGAAGTGGCGGCCCTCCTTGCCCCCACATTGGGAGGCTTCATCCCCGAAAGGGACTGGTTTGGTCCGTGATGTTGCCTGCTTGACGTCGAATCCTCGACTTCTCTCCTGGCCTGACAATGATGGTGGTAGCTACGCGTCGAGGGATGAAAAAGAAGACGAATGAATGCTCCCAAAAACACATCCTCGTATCGTCGCACATGCAAAGGCAGAGCACCAACTTCGACACATTTATGTTGTGGGGGCGTTCCACTGCCGCGTCCAGAACGACATGGGGTGTTCGCTACCATGCGTCCAGCCCAGCCCAGCCCAGCCCAGCCCTCTTTTTCTTCTATTGTGGCTTGAGACCCCACCATGGAAGACCCGGATCGGTTTATCATCATCGAATCCATGACACATGAGGTGATGGTTCTCGAGCTCGCAAGCAACCTCGACCCCACCGCGAGAAATACAGATGCGGCGGGCGGGTAGATTGATGGCAGATCAACTTCTCAACTCCCTCCCCAAAAGTCACTGCTACTTGGGAGGGAAGAGGGGCTAGAGGAGCGCCACGAAACATAAAAGAAGAATATTGGGAGGAGAGGGGGCCGGATTATCTCTTGACGGGTGTCTTAGACGGGCCTTGTGTTCCACGTTCCCTCTCTCCAGGTCTGGCATCTGACGGTTCCGTGTCGATCCTCAAAGGGCCAGCCAGCACAACAAGACTTGCATTCGCGTCGTTACCGCCACACCATGCGCCAAGCAAGGTCACAGAGCGAATGGCCGAGAATGTTGAGACGGGACATGATATTTGCGCACAGAAGGAGAATGGATACTTTGGTCACTACGCCCCAGGAAAGCCGAGTCACGGATGAATTGATGAAAGAGGGAAGACAAAGCCGGTCGGGGAGTGAGAGAAAGAAGAAAAAGAAAAAGAAAAGAAAAGAGAAAAAAGAGGGGAGGCAGGTGGCATGCACCTCAACTGCAGGATTCCTCGACGGAGAGGGGTGTCTGTGTGCGGCGTTCTAGCCGTGTAAAAGGAGATGGGCGGGGAGGCTCACCTCACCTGTCGAGGAGACTCAACAGCAGCCACCGGTGCGGGCAAAAACGGGCTTTGTTGGCCGGTCGAAAGGACATTTGGGTTTGAGGTGATTGAGAGAGTCTTTGGCACTATGTTTTTGTTGGTGTTGCTGCCGTCGCGTTCGGCGATCCTCTGCGAATGGAGTTCCTCAACGGCCGAGGAGGTGAATTACACCAAAGCAGCGCGAGGAGGGAAACCCATAAGAAGCGCAAGGTCGGCCTCGGTAGCTTGTGATTGCGATGCCAGCTCTTCTCCCGCTTTGTATCAGAATGGAAGCAACTCTGGTCGCAATCGCCGATGGTCTCCGAGTAGCAATTTGCAATACCGGGGCAATGGAAGGGGGCGAAAGGGGAAGGGAGAAAAAGGCTGAGAGTTCAACCAAATTTTGGGGGAGGTTTTCCCCCAAAGAAAAAAAACCCCAAGCTTGGGAGCTGCTGTTGGTCAATCGACCCATCAAGTGTATGGGCCCCTTCAACAATGCAGGACCCTCGTCTCGATTTTGTTGAGGGAGTTCTAACCCAAACCGGGACGGGCCCAGCTTGTCGGATGCGTCTATTGGCTGGGGTCCCGGGGTGGGTTTGCCCCCACTTGGCTCGGCACGGGAGAAAGCTCCGCTGGGAACTGGGAACTGGGGGAATGGAGGTCCCATTGTTCTTGTCGAGGCCCATTCTGATGGAACCATGATGCCAGAACTACCGCAAGATGAACAATCAAAAGAAAAGGAAAGGCCCCAAAAAAGAAAAAGAAAAAAGGAAAAAGAAAAGAAAAATTGAAGAAGGACACAGATGTCTGAAAGCCGGCCCGAGAGGCAACCCCAGGAGGCTCGGGACGACTGTATTCTTCCGTCGGGATAAACCGTCGTTGACTGGCTGTTTTGTCTTTTTGTCGTTCACGATTATCAGATCCATTCGAGTCAAAAAACTGGGGTAATTAATATTCAGGTGTTGGGATCCTTTCGTCGCGTCTTGTTCCTTTGAACCGAGACAAGGCAACTTGATGAGAAGGGAATGGCGACGAACGAGTATCGGTGACGATGCAGATGCATCTATCTTTCGAGACACAGCACGCAGCAAAACGCGAGAACCTTGTAGATGAGCTCGAGTTTGTCGGGTCGTTGCACCAGCATAGTTTCATGCTCCCAGGCCGGTAGTACAAGATTGGAAATGCGAGGGGCTGGAGATAACAGAACGCTCGCGTAGTGTGGCGATCGAATGCGCCATCCGAGTTACCACAACTGAGCAGGAGTGAAGAGAGGTGACGAGAACCTACCTCTACTCGGTGGTGCAAATGAACTTTCAATGTTGAAACCACAAATATCAATCATATCGACGGGGAATCTAGGCGGTCTAAATCGAATAACGCTCAATCTCTTCATTATGAGAACAGCAATCTAAGCCCAGCGCCAGATTCCTTTAGACGAACACTGCTTGTGTACAGAAGAAGAAGAAGTAATAGATATGGCAGAAGAAGCCCCGAAAGGCCCGAACGACTCCGAGTCTCGAACGGAAGGAAGCCCGGAATGTGGGAACTCAAGAGTGGAGCAGCCGTGTCCGGAGCTGGAAGATGTTGTGGGCCCATGTTGCCGAAATTAATGGCAGCCATCAGCTACTGTCACCGAAGAAACGGATAGGATGCGGGACTTGAGAGGGAGGGAGAAGCGGGAACGGGAGCGGGAGTGATTAATCCCCCGCCCCCACCCGGACACGGTGCCTGCATTTTTGGTTTCTTTCCTTGCGGCGCTATGCTGGGGTTTTCGGGCGACGTGCAGCGGACATGTGGGCGAGGGTCTGGACTGGTCCTAGCCGGAGGAGGGACAGAGTGCAAGAGAGCGAGAGTGCAAGACTGGAAGGGGGATGGGATTTTGGGATTGTCAAATTATTACTTTGAGTGTTTATCATAGCTGAAACTCGACATTGGCTTCTTGTTGCAGTGTTTCTTGGGCATGGTTCGTGATGAAGTTGACCCTCTCCCTTTTGCCTTTTCGCATCTAGTCGATGGGCACGCCCAAAATCCATTGAGGAGGAAGCCAGGAAGAAGAAAAAAACAGCGTACTATCTAATCCGGTCATTTCCACAATCAACACTAGAGGGGTGGGGATGGTGCTGTTCTACGATACCCTAAGATTATCTAGAGTATGAGGACGACGGGTCCATTAGTTTGGTCCATTTTCTCTCAATCCTCTCGATCCACTCGATTGGGTCTCTCAAGAATTCAAGTTGGACCCCGTGGATCAAAGGGACAAATCTGATCATCCATGTGCCGACGTGAACAACTTTTTATCTTGATCTTTTTTGCGCCGTCCAGTACGGCAATGCTTGATGTCTTGACCCCGCAGTTCACGAGCCATTCTCGCAATTGCTAGAAGCCGAGGTTCGATGTTGTCTGTCTTGAAACCTCAAAAGGGGGAGGAGGGGAGGAGGGGATGGCCAAATGGATCGACCTCGGATCGACCTGATCGAGACAGTGCGTGATCACCATCAAGCTCAGGGACGTACAGCTCGAGTCTTGGAAGAGAACGAATTGTTTAGTTTTTCTTCCTCTGTTCCAAACAATTCACGTAGCCGAGACTGGCAATGGTTCCACTCGTGTAAACGATGAGAGGAGCCGCGAGCCTGGTCCAGCCCGCACTCAGCCCTGTACGAGCGCGAGCAAATAATGCAATTGATCTTGATAGCAAAGCCGTCCACGTTGAAAACTCGCCATGGTCAACCCAGGGTCCCCCTTTTTTCAAGGTGTATTTTCAGGGACCCCTCTCCCTTGCCTCAAGAAAAAGTGTGCCCATGAATCGATGTGTAGCATTCGACAGCCCCAACTAGGAATAGTTCGCTTCCGAAGCCAGCTTGGCGCGCACCCACACGGACCTCCCCAAGCAAAAGCACGACGCTTGAAGAGCTTTCCCCGCAAAGCTCTCTTTCCCGAACCAAACCAGGCCAGGTCGAGCAAGCAAGCAAGCAAAAAAGCGGGAACGTCGGGAACGTGAAGCTATCTTTTCCCCTTGCCTCCCACCCCTCCCCTTCCTCGTTCCCCCTTTCCCAGATCGCGAGGCTGCGTGTATTCACTGTCTCATCTTTTCCTCTCTCTCTCTCTCTCTCTCTCTCTCTCTCTCTTGCCTTCATCTCGGTGACACCAACATCGTACCACAAAGCCAAAGCAGCCATCCATCCACATCTACGGAACCAAAGCAGGCCAGAGCTACACAAAGTCAGCCGCTACCCTTGCTCTGCCTTTGTTTTGTTTTCCACCCACCCTGAAGGCGCAAAGGGGAAACACAAGCCCGAGCCCGGATACATGTGAACGCCACTTTGCCTGCCCTTTTTTCGTGACGACCTTGTCCGCGGCCCGAGACGGATAAGATCTCCCTTGCCCGCTCTCTCCTCTTTCCCCTCTTGGGAGTTGGAGGTTCCGCGACATTTCTCTATTCGCCTTTACGGATGCTAAAGAACTTGAAACTCTTGACTCGTTGATTTGTTTTTTTCTTAATTAAGGCTCCAGCAGACGCCATATCCCACATCAGCCCGTCGCCATTGTAGCATCCTCGAAGGGAACCCCAAAAAAGAAAACAATGGCCCAGCCCGTAACCATAGCCCCGGCGAAGCTCGCCCCCGCGCCGCCCAAACTTCCCGCCCTCCCGGCCGACGACCTCTTCTCCGAAGCCCACTGGTCCATCCTCCTCGCCCTCCTCGACGCCTCCTTCCCCGCCCTCGTCCCCAAGTCCGAGTCGCCCTCCGCCGCTACCGCCGCCGCCGGAAACCGCCGCAACTACCTCGAGCTCCCGGATGCCGAGGTCGACGCCGCGTACGACCGCGTCGTGGAATTGTGCGCCAGCGCCGGTCCGGCCCCTACCAAGACAGCGTTCCGGGGTCTCCTTGCCGACCGTGCGTCGGCGCATCCCGATTTTGTGGATAACTGCCGACGTTTTATAGGGGTTTCCCCGCTTCATAGGAGGGCTCTTGGGGAGTTTTTAACACGGCTATCGTGAGTACAGTGCTCTTTTTCTTATTCCTTTTTTCATCTCCTAGATTGGGAACCCTGGGGTAAAAAAAACCCCAAAAAAAAAAGAAGTTCCCCAAAAGAGAAAACAGAAACACTAACGAAATGTGGCGCCACGATCAAACAGCCGACGAACCGGCGCCTGGTTCCTCACCGGCTACTGCACCCCATCGACCAGCTCCCCGTCCACGTGCGGCACAAGATCGTGCTCGCCTGGCGCACCTCGTGGATCGCGCCCCTCCGCGGCTTCGCCAAGACCCTGCAGCAGATTGCGCAAAAGGCCTACTTCCAAACCAGCCCGCTCTTCCAGCAGCTGTCGACCTACTCCGACGTGCCCGCCGGCTACAAGCCCGGCCCCGCGTTCGATTTCCAATTCCTCCAATTCCCCGCATCCGACACCGATACGGTTACCGCCGGCGCCACGCACACCCTCGAGACGGACGTCGTCATCGTCGGCTCCGGCCCCGGCGGCTCCGTGTGCGCCCGTACCTCGCCGAGGCGGGCCACCGCGTGCTCGTCGTCGACAAGGGCTACTATTTCCCGCCTTCGCAGCTGCCCATGCCGCAGGCGACGGCGTGCGCCTACATGTTTGAGGCGCAGGGCATCATCACCTCGGATGACAAGTCCACCTCCGTGCTGGCGGGGTCGTGCTGGGGCGGCGGCGGCACCGTGAACTGGAGCGTGGCGCTGCAGACGCAGGAGTACGTGCGCGAGGAGTGGGCGCGGCCCGAGGGCGAACCTGGCGAACTGGCCGGTGCCGGTGCTGGTGCGGGGATGCCCTTCTTCACCTCGGACAGGTTCCAAGGGTGTCTGGACCGCGTGTGCGCCGCCATGGGCGTCTCGGCCGACGGGTGCCGCCACAACCACGCCAACCGCACGCTGCTGGACTCGTGCGCGCAGCTCGGGTGGAAGGCCCGCGCGGCGCCGCAGAACACGGGCGGGAGGGAGCACGCGTGCGGGCAGTGCCATTTGGGCTGCGGGTCCGGGGAGAAGATGGGGCCCGCGGTGGCGTATTTGCCGGCGGCGGCGGCGGCGGGTGCGCGGTTCATCGAGGGGTTCGAGGTGGAAAAAGTGCTGTTTGAGGAGTGTGCAGAGGAGGGCAAGGAGACGAAGAGGGCGGTCGGGGTGGTGGGGGAGTGGGTGTCGAGGGATGAGCGGGGCAATGTGGATGGGCCGCGCGAGGGGAGGGTGACGAGGAGGGTGGAGATTCGGGCGAAGAAGGTGATTGTGTCGGCGGGATCGTTGTGGAGTCCGGTGATTTTGAAGAAGAGTGGTTTAGAGGTAAGTTTCTGGGGGAAGAGTTGCCATCACCGTGGAATCTTTTTTCCTTCTTTTTTGTTCACGCTGTGGAGGCTGGTTTTCTAACGAGGTTGCAGAATCCGCAAATCGGCCAGAACTTACACGTTCATCCATGCAATTTCATCGCGGCCAGTTTCAAGAGGGACGTTAAGCCCTGGGAAGGTAATCTCTTTTCTACCCTCTCCTGTCCTCTCTTTTGCACTTACATCTTGGGCACTTGGCTGACGACAGAATCCCTCCTTTCTTTCTCTCCTCTGTAGGCGGCATCATCACGAGTTACTGCAGTGAATTCGAGAACCTTGACAACGCCGGCCACGGCGTAAAGCTAGAGCCAACTTGCATGGTCGTAAGTTCCCCCTGTATCTCCTTCCTTCTCCATTCCACCGGCCTTTTCCCGTCTTTTCAAAGGCCGCATGAATGTGGAAAAAAGAAGAAACCCCCAGAATTCCTACCTAGCTCAACTAACACGTGCTCCTCCCCCAAACAGCCCTACGCATGTCTCGCCCCCTCCCCTACACCTCAGCCCTCGAAGCCAAGCTCTCCGCCCTCAAGTACCGCCACATGAACTCCTTCATCTCCCTCACCCGCGACCGCGACGCCGGCTCCGTCTCCGTCGAACCCACCACGGGCCAGCCCAGCGTGCACTACTCCCCTCGGCCTTTGACGCCGCGCACACCCTCGAGGGCATCGTCGCGCTGGCCAAGATGTGCTACGTCGCCGGCGCCGCCGAAATCTACGCCTTTGTGCCCTGGCTCGAGCCCTTTGTCCGCGCCGCCGGCTCGGACGCGACGGGTGCCGACGACGAGGAGCCCGGCGAGAAGAAGGAGCACGAGAAGAGCAGCGCCCCACCCTCCACAGCGGCGGCGGTGCAGCGCATGGACGCCGACGCCGACTTTGCCGCGTGGCTCGCGGAGCTGCGGGCCCGGGGTAATGCGCCGCCGATGAGCGTGTGGACGTCGGCGCATCAGATGGGCACGTGTCGCATGAGCGCCGACCCGAGTCGGGGAGTGGTGGATCCCCGTGGGGAGGTTTGGGGGTGTGATGGGTTGTATGTGGCGGACGCGAGTACGTTTCCTAGCGCGAGCGGGGTGAATCCCATGGTGACGAACATGGCTATTTCGGACTACATTGCGTCGAATGTGGTGGAGGATCTGGGGCGGGTCTAGTGCGATGGATAGGAGGGTAGAGGGAAAGAGAACAACGTTTAAGACAATGGGAGAAGCTCCATTCTTTTTCGCGGGCGGAGATGGAACGGGGGCAATGAGATAGGTGAGCTCGTTTGTGGAACACGAGTCTCTGTACGTTTTGTTTTTTTACTCTCCTTCGCGGTTAGGAGAGTATCGTGTATTTTTCTAGTCCCTTGGGAGTGTGGTTTCCAGTAGTGTAGGATAATTTGAATCACGGAACGAAGAAGGAAATCTTGAATGATTCTCCTGTGCACTTGTTCGCCTCTTTTGCCTCTCTAACCACTGGTTTTGGGGCCTTCACTACGACGGCTTCTTCATTGACAGGTTCGTCAGTCCCACAGCCAAGCTCAAGACGTGTAGTTCTAGGAGTATCACCGCTTCTCCAAGACCGATACCAAGGCAAACCACCCAATTTGGGCTAATACAGAAATTGAAGATTATCCCCGTAATGAAGGGACCATCCCTGCCCTTTTGACGTCGTGCAATATATCTGCTGTAACAATTCCCCGGTCCGACCAAACTCCTTCCCCCTTTCGCACCCGATCCGTCGTCCATGTTCCCGGAGAATTTTCCCGGAGAATTTCGGTCTACCCCCTAAAAGGGATGGTTACCTCCTGATTATTCACCCCCTCCGTTTTCTTTCCCTTACACGAGCGCCGGACCTTTTTTAAGTGATAAGTTTTTTTCGGCCGTTCTTTTGTTTCGCGACCCATTTGGCGTAATTGGCGGCGCACTTACACGCACACTCTTGGGCACGCACACTTACACAAACACACGCACACAATCATCCACAGATCGTTGAATTGATACACACACACACACACACACACATCCATAGTAGACTAGCCGATCCTGCACTCAGGCCCAGATATAGAGAGCCGTATCGCGCTAGATCCCACATCACGCCTACATCCCGCCTCCATCAAGGAGTCCTGCTACCCAACCCCATCCCTCCGCCACCAAACCTGCCAAGACAAGAAAAAAAGCAATGGTTCAAACAAGTAACAAAAAGGAAGAAACAAAAGAACCAAGTTGGCCCAGCTTTAACTTGGCCTCTCTCCCACACACACCCCTCCTTGCCTTTCAAACCCCGTCCGCAAACGGAAATCTTCTCCGTTCTCTCGGCCCCCTTTCTTCTCCCCCGAAAAGCCACACTCACTAGGCGAGAGAGAGAAAGGGAGTGTGTGTCTGCATGCGTGCCCTTCTCCATTCTCATCTTCCCCTTTCCATTTCCCCACACGCATACCCGGGCCGGGCAAACAGAGAACCCGCCCCCCCAGCCCCGTACGTCAATCGACCATCCGCACCCTTCATCAAACGCCAGATCGGATCGGACCGGCTCGCCCGATGGCGACGGCCCTAGACAATAGACTCCGTTGCATGTGCCCCGTACTTGTGCCTATTCCCTACGTGTAGTCACCAATTAGACCTCCATACACCATGTTCAGGCAAAACCTCCCGACCGACCACTTCGGCCTACACCGCGGCCAAACTCACTGCCTAGTCCTCGCGCTTTTCCCGCAACCTTGACCGCCACCCACTACCAACCCTCTAGGTTCAATTCTTCATAGACACAATCAATTTAGTTGCAGGTTTTCCATGTAGTTTGTTTTAAAAAATCTTGATTTTTTTTTAGGTTTCCAAAGCGCGTTATTGTTCGCTTTGACTTAAAGATTAAGTTATGACAAAGGGAGCCGGGTTTCTTTTCTTCTAGATGTATATCCCGTCTTTCGGAAAATCACGACCGCCAGGGTTCGGTTTCCATTACACATGTCCACGTATTCCGTATATCCATTCCGTACCCAGCGCTCTTCGCAACCTCGACTTCCCGGGTTCCAAACCCACCGAGGAGGGTTCCGGCAGAGTCGGAAATCCAGTTCCGTTCCCTCCGAGGGCACGCCGCGGCCCTAAAGTCTCTCCCTCTTCCTCGTGCCTGTGCTTTCTTGCTTTTCGCTTACTCCGCCCATCCTCCAGGGATGATTGCATGGCAGAGATGCGAGCAGAAACAACTCATTGAGCACCAACTCCCCGTGTTGCGGGAGCGAACCGCCACACGGCTTGCCACTGGGGACAAGCTGGGGCCCGGCATCGCTTTCAGATCCTCACGTCTTTCTTGGATCGGCCCTGTTTCCGGTCCGGATGCTTCTGCATCCCATCGCGCCAGGCCGCAACTCCTCCCAGCCCTTGGACCCGGCTAGCGGGTATCCGTGGGGGCTGTTACCAACGTGGCAAAGCCGTGTTGGTCAGTTCGTTGCGGCCCGTGACGGGATGGAAGCCATCTAGGCACCGGGCGTGGCGCGAAATCTCGTGAGTCTGGATGAGGTATGCCCCAGCTGTCCCGTCCCAGGAGCCTTCTGCTCCATGGCGTGGCCGTCCCGAGAGAGGCGGTCTTACATCTTCCAAACAATCTTCGTTCCTGCCGCGTGATTGTTTGATTTGATGCCCTGCTCCGAGCTCCGTCCCATCATTCATGCATGTGTGCGCGCGTGTTTTTTGTCTCTGCTTGTATGCTGTGGTTGTTGTTTTCTGGTGTTTCGGGTCTCCGTTCCCCAGCTTGCTTGACATTGTAAGCAACCGTTCGCCCTCGATCCGAGTCGCATCATCACAGATGATGCGCTCGCCCCGAGCTTCCACGGTGCTTGTGTTCTTGGAGGCCTAGCCAAGAGGAAATAGTAATATTGCCGCCCCAATTGCCTTATTTTCAGAATCTTTCCCACCCTACCCCATCATCTCTCCGCTCATGACTTGGCCAGGGTCCGATATGTCTCGAGAGTAAGCCAGTCACCCCCGAGACTTATCAGGTTCAACCCTAGGCTGAGTCCGAAACCATGGTCGAGTCCAAAATGAAAAAATCGGCTCGTGAATGGACGGCCCCGTCTTTAGATAGAGGTCGTATCCCATCGTTGCTGGAGGGAGAGAGTGAGAGGAGGCGTGACGAGGTAGCCGGTCATGATCGTGGAGAAGGGCGTGAAAGATTAATCCAAGGTCGGTCGTCGTTGTCGTCGGTAAATAGTAAAAAACAAAGGAAAGGAAAACAAGGACGAAACCGTAAGGCAAAGGGGGCGCTGTAGGCTTGGCGGCGCAATGTCAAGAATGGGAGAGAACCAAACAGAGCGGGAAAGAAACCAGAAAAACTCCCGAGAAACCAAAATGCCGATGCAATCAAATCGGGTATCCTTTGCACCGCAACCTGCGACCGAATGGTGGGGGTATCATGCTCTAAGAAGACAGACCTCTCTGTATGCCGTGTAAACCCTTGAATATGCCGTGAATCCGTGAAAACATTGAAAAAAGGAAATGAGATTACAACAGAAAGGAGGAAAACGATGCTGATGGATATGAAGAAAGGCAAAGGCTGTAGACAGGAAGAAAAGAAAGGGAAAAGAAAATGACGGTGTCTGTCCCGATATCTGGCCGGGCCGTAGAATAGGAGTGTTTGGGGTTGCATTGCTGCGATCCTCTTTAGACGGAAAAGGGAAAAGAAAAAGGCAAGAAGAAGAAAAAAGGGAATATGGTATAACAAAGGGAAAGACGGGGGAAAAGAGGAGGGGAAAGAAAAAGAAAAAAGGAGATCCGACCCGTGGTGAATCCTAGAACCCAACAAGTGGTGATGTGGGTTTGTCCTGCCCTGTCTGCCAAATGCCTCCCGTCCTCGTGGGATGGAAACATCGTGTGCGCCCGTCGATAGGGGAATCCTCAAAGCTTCGATCATCGTTGCCGACTCCGCAGCTGAACTCTTCCCTTGCAACCGACTGGCGGTTTCGACGGTTCCATCAGACCTCCCGCGTCGTTCGCTTCCCAGGAGAAAAAAAAACCAAAAAGAACCCAAAACGGATATGCCAGGCGAGTGAGAAAAGAAAAAAAGGAAGAAACTCGACATTCGCTTTGCTCCAGCCCTTAGTGATGCAGATCCAAGGAAAAGAAGGGAGGAAAAAAAGATGGCGAGGGAGATATGAGAAAACCAGTTGAAAAACGCCGAGTTGATGCCTTTTTGCCAAACAGTGAAATTGTGGTATAGCGCGCGCAACAGCAGTTCCTCTCTAAAACCTTTTTCTCCGGGAAAACGAGGTGGGAATGTCCGAGGGGGCAGGGTCTTTTTTCTCTTCTCTTTTCTTGTTTCGTCAGGTTTGTTTTCGCTTCTCACGAGGTCGTCACCACAGGATAGTCGTCTCTGGCAGCGGGCCCTGGTTGTCACATTATCGACGTGTACTCCTGGTAGCGATCCCAACCAAAGTTGCCGTAGCCCGTGTGGACTCCGCATTGCGCCGGCGCCAACATGCTAGGTAGCGGTAACGCGGCGGAGATGCCGGCCGTCACGGTCGGGGAGCTGTAGTACAGACCGGGAGCCGAGAACGGGGCGCTGTAGGCGGGCGTCGGGGATGGGATTTGCACCTCGCTCATGCCCATCGTCACCCAAAGAGAGCCGTTCGAGTCGCCAGACGTCGAGGCAACACTTGGGCTAGACGGCAATATCCTCCAGGCCTCCACAGCGGGAAGGCTAGTAGCAGGGGTGGGCTGAGACCACATGGCCATAGTGACGGGAGAGCTGGGAAGGAGAGGTGGGGCTTGGCGGATGGGCTCGACAATCTTGGGTGGCGGGGAAGCAACTGCTTCATCAGGCCCTCAATCGAGTTCTTGACCTCTTCGCTCTTGCCGCAAAGCAGCTCGCCGACGCCTCCCTCTTCTAGGCCCTCGAGAGCCGAAACGTGTGTGCGGTAGACGAACCTGTTGATGGCTTGCACAAAGTCCTCGTGAAGCTTCTTGCATTGCTGCTCCTTCTCCGGCCAGTCGTAGGTGTTGGCCTTGGTATCTACGCAAAGATATCCTTGTGATATTCGACTAGGGCATCGATGGAATCGGTGGTGAGCTTGAAAGCGACCTCATTGCGGAGGACCATGTCGACGTGGACGATGTAAGCTTCGACGTGGAGGAGCTGGTAGTTGAAGAGTGCCTCCACCAAAGGGTTGGGATCCCTGCGTAGTTCAGTCTCGGGTGCCTTGGGGAGCATGACTGACGTTAACGTCCAGTAAGCGTTGGGTGACGAAAGAATCTCGGTAAGGCATCGCTGGTGCTGAGGTACGCTGTTGAGGGGACGCTTCACCCTGTTGACGCGCTTAAGGGTCTGTGTAAGCCACGGCTCAACCTTGGAGCCCAACACCACGTTGACTGAGGAAGCCCTGGGCGCAAAGGCCGCAGCCGAGGCCGGTAATAGCTGAGGAGGCATGGTCTGGTTCTGATGTGCGAGGAGGAAGGAAAGGTTGGAAGGGGAGGGGCGAAAGTGTGCGGAAGAGTGTCTGTCGTCGATGTCTTGGCGAGTATGGGTTGTCAAGGTCCTGTTTGGAGAGGAATGGGGTGAGGGTTATCAAAGTAGAAGAAGCACTTGGGACGAGAAGAGCATATATAGCAGGCTCAAGTGGTGAAGGCTAAGTCTCGTCGTCGTTGAAAGAGGAGCTGTCCTTGTGTGGGTCTGAGGGTGAGTGGGAGGACGAGTGCTTTTGTCTTTGTTCGGAACCCAGGCGACAGGTACGCGGCAAGGCAAGGGGTGGGCAGATAGAATGAGGCTTGAGGAGGGTGGCGGAAGGAGACGGCGAAGGAGGGAGGGAGGGTATATCCAAGAAAAGAAAAAGAAGCAATGGGAAGCCGGGGAGGGAAAAGAAGAAGAAGGTGAAGAAGAAAAAGAGAACAAGGGACAAAGGGGATCGTGGGTAGTAAAACGGAGCTGGCGGTCCAGAATCAAGGAATCAACTGTTTACACGCCCTGCTACCGCTTGTAGGGTAAAGAGAAGAGAAATTGGACGAGGTATTCGTGAGGAAGGAAAAGGAAGGAGGACAAGAGTGAGATCAAGATGAGGGTGGGTGGGCTCGTGATATAGATGGGGTGAGATAGGACAGGGGGGGAGGAGAGCCGGTAGAGGGACCGGAGGGAGGGGTAGGCCGTCGAAGCGACGGCAGTATTACGGAGGGCCCAGTCCTCAGGAGCAGGAGGAAAAAAAAGAAAAGAAAAGAAAAACGAGGGAAAAATGGAACCTAGAGAGGTGAGCAGCCACCACAATGCGAAGAGTGCCGGGGCAAGAGGGCCTGAACAAGCGCCGAAGGGGGGCAGCTTCCCACTATTTTCTCTCTCTCAATGTTCCAAGTTCCGACTCCCTCCCTCTCCTTGGTACCAAGCGCAGCTTCGGGGCGGCGGCACTGCCTGCTTCAATGCTCTTCGACTGACGCGCTAGTACATGTGGGAGACCTCGGGCGCTGAGCAGCCAAATGGGGCTGTACACCTTTGCCAGAAGCTGGTTTTGTGGGAAAGCCCGGGCCTGGCCATGTAGAGTCCATGTACTTGCAGCATGCAGCGCAGTAGGGCATCTCCGGGCACCCTCTCTTTTCGCCCCTAACCGGCCGGAGGATACACCCAGCCAAAGTGCCTCCCATTTTTTTCTTCTTCCCAGCTGCACGTTTAACTGGGCAGAGCGAATTCAACCTCAATTTTCGCCCTTTGTCTTTTTTCTTTTTCTTTTTCTTTTTCTTTCCCTTCCTTGTCCCGTCCGTTTTCCCCCTCCTTCTTGGTACCCAGCCAGCAGCACCCAGAACCCTGTTGTTCCGGCGGTAACCACGCCCCCATCGCTTCACCCCCTCTATTTTCCATCTTGGCCTAACCCCTCCTTCAAGCTTCACTCCCTTGTCCCTCTATCGCCAGAGCAGGAAATTCTGGGTCTGGTAACCGGCTTGGTGGGGTGGGCCGATGGGGTGCCAAACAACATGCAGCCTCGAGTGGAAGTGTCGAACTGAGGTTTATTGCGTATGAGGTGGAAAAATTAAGTCGTCTCCATCACGATTTTCGAGCACGGCATCAATGTATTGTGGCCACACACCAACCACGCCAACTCGGGATAGGAAAGGCCCTTTTAGGTCCTTGTGAAAATGAGGATCTTTTGGGGCCCAAGAGAGCCCTGGGAGAAGAGAGAGAGAGAACTACACCCTACCCCCTTTACTCCCGCATCGCATTCGTTTTTTCGCGTGGCTGCCATTCAGGCCCTCCCCGAGAGCCATTGGAAAGAGGCCGCTTCTCGTTCCGTACCATGTACGCTTCATTTCGGTCTGGGGCTTCGCATCCGCCCAAGATTTGATAACTGCGATGACTAGGTAATTCACCACAGCCCAGCCACCCAGCACACAGAAAGGGCACGGAATAGCCCGGTGAGCATGAGGGCGGAGGAGCAGGAGCGCAGGAGTGCAGGAGCGGTGGAAGCGGCCCCTTCCCGAAAAGGGACGGACTTGGTCAGGGCTTCCTAGTGCACATTACATAGTTCGTTCCCAACCAAGCCAAGTCGCGCACTGCTTTTGTGGCGCCCATCAGAGCATTCTTTGGCCAAAGCGTGCAACCAAAGAGCCTTACCCCGATATGGCTACATTGAGGAAAGGGTGACATGCGGAGGAGACTTGAGGAGCTGCACTAGCAGTTAGGCAGGCGGGGCGACGCTAGCATGACTGAGATGGGTCTCGTTGACTGAGGTGGCGCCGCCTCGTCTTCCGAGAGTCTCGGCTGTCAGGACCCTCCTTCCCCTCATTGAAAAGCGGAAAGAGCAAAGAGGCAGACTCAAGTCGGAGGAAAGGGCAAGTCGCCCTGTAGCTTCAAGAATGTGGCCCCTCTCGGCAACGTCTAATACAGTGAGGCCTGACATGCGCGAGAACTAGTGCCCTACGTCGCATCACTCTTCAATATTGTCTCCTCGCCCGGGCTGTTAGGCTCAGGCTAAAAGAAGAGAAGAGGAAGAGGTAAGAAGAGGATAGATATTGTGAGGGGCTCCTCGAAGGTGGAGCACGAGCAGCACCACTTTTCGATTCGTTCTCGATGATCAGAGGAGGCAGGAAGTAGCGGTGCACAATTGCACTCTCCAGAACCGACCTGATACCAATACTCAATACGACAATACAAAATGGAAAAGAATTGAGCACTCTTTACGTTTGCTTGGCAACTTCTGAGCCGTCGAGCCGATCGAGTTTTGCCATCGACGATATCCAGGGACACGAATGCGGTGACGACGCAGGGCCCAAGCTGCGCACCCGGCTCAGGCAACAGAGTGCCTCTTTCGCGGGGGAGGAGGGGAGGCAAAAGCCAGAAGGGAAAGAAGCCCCCAAAAAACCAAACGAAACAAAAAAGATCGAGAGGCAGTGCCCCCAAGCTGCATGTGCAAATGCACCAGTACGAGAACGGCAGTCTCCTTACTCCCCTCCCCATCCAGTGTGGGAAAAGAAAAGTTTTTTTTTCCTTTGATTATTTGGGGTGTACTATTCCTGGTTCTGAGTGGTCGTGAAGCACGAGGTACCTGTCGTTTGTATCATTCAAGCACACACACAACGAGCAAGCTTCAAGATATCAATTACGGGGAGGGGTGGAAGGATGAAGCCTAACAAAGCTCCATGTCCCGATTGTATTTTAAGTTGCGTCCTGTCTCTTGGAAGCTGAAAACCCGCTTCAGCACGGTTGTAGACCTATTTTCCTGCGCCACCAAAAATGCACCCTCGCTCCCAAGCCCACACCCTCACCATCATAATGTACAAAGTATGCTATCCCTATGGATACCGGCGGAATTGCTCATTTGATTGATACAAGGAACCCAAAGGCCAACTGCAATGGCCTGGGGTCGGACACGATACTGCGTGGGCATGCTGTATGAGACACGGGGTACTCCGGATGGTGCCTCCAAGTCTATCATGCCATGCGTAAGTTAGTGAGGGACAACGAGGAGATGACATAGCAGGTCGCGGCCGGCCCTCGGCAACGGGCCACTTCTCCCCTGTGAAGGCAATATACGAGCAAAGAAGAAAAACCGGGCGATGATGAATGTTGCCTCCCTCTCTTCGGCCGAAGGCCTCTCGGTGGGTTGTCGGTCGCCCTCAAGGGCCGCATCTTTGGTTGCCTCATAATTGCCCGAGGACTAGCGCAATTAGAACGACACACATTATCGGGCCTCCAGCAGATACGCCTATTCATGCGAGGCCACTCTTTTGCTTCCTTGACACCTCCAGCTAATACATTTTCCTGCACAGCTTCACTGGGTAAGGGTGGGTTTTTCACTAGCGCAAGGGAAGGGAGGGTGGTTCACTCTGGTTTCCCGGGCTTGGCCAAAAATTGAGATGAACTAATAATATTCCTCAATAAAAAGGTGTGTTCCGACAATTTTCATGAGGGAATCAAGGTTCGCCAAGCAGGAAGCGCTTGCGTGTCCTTGCTGCCCCCGGTAGACATATGCCCAGTTTGCCAGTGGCAGATCTTCCGTCCTACGCACGGATGCCGCCATCACGCTTCAAGGCCACCAGGTTCCGATGGACTGACCGGCTGTGGAGGACCCAGTCAGCCAGTCAATGTCCCCAAGTCCCCACACACGACGATAGCTGGGACAAGACAAAGCCCCTCTCTCGATTCATGACTTATATTTCCTAACAAAGGCTCGCCCACCCTGGTCTTTTTGTTCTCCTTCCCCCTGGGACGGCGAGGTCCCACGGCAAGATGGTGAACCGTCGATGCTGGTAGTCTGGTCGAACTGCGGAGTCTTCAAGACATCACGGGGCCGGGCTCTAGCAAATGAGGATGCCGGCATTTTCTGCCCTTCCTAGGCGGCGCCCCTGCCCCCGGTCTTGTCTTTGCTTCTCATCACCCAAAGGTACTTTGTACGTATCGAGAAGAATGCCGATCGCGTCCCTTTGGGACGATGGGGTCCCTTTTTCCCCATTGCCGGGTCTGTCAACCACAGCAAGGGCAAGTTCCTGGGGAGAGGTAAAACAAGCTAGGAAACGCCACATTTCTTTTTCAACCTTTGGCTTGATATCCCCAGTACATGACTGCAACACACACCCTTCTTCTCCCTCGCTCTTTATACTATAGGTGGGTGTGCGTATGTGCGTACGTGCGTACGTGCGAGGTCGATGGGGCAGGAATAGAATTCCACGCGCAATATCTGCCTTGGGGGAAATAAGAGGGTGTCCGTCGTATCCTGTGGAAGTTGAACTCCGGCTGAGATGTCCCGGCCCAGGACCACTTAACTAGCTCGCGAGGGCTTGGATTCCTCGTACGTCAAGGTAAGACATCGGACTCTCTCATCCTGCCGTTGCCCAGGTGTAAGTCTTTGATATGCATGTCTCGCTTCCCTCTTGCACACACACACACACACACACTCACACACACACATATACACCTGTAGACACCGTAGACATTGACATCTGCATAAGCAT